AAGTTACAAAAAATGTACCATTTAAATATTATACTGTTCAGTGTTGTAGCTGAAATGTTAAATTCTTGCGTTATGCAACACTTAAACAACGGTCTGTAGCAAAAAGGCGCGAAGTAAATCTGTAGACGCTGCGTCTCTACTATTGCTTGAATTTTTCTGAATAATCAAAGAGTAGCTTACCTTTGTCTTGAAAGAATAATGCCACCGCGTAAAAGAAAGAACCCAGCCAAAAAGAAGGACAAATCGGAACGAAATGCAAAAGATGTCGAGCCTTCTGATGACGACAACGCATTACAAACGCCGGAGCGAGACGAAGACACCGACTATGGCTTAGATTATACCACAAGCCGCTTGGCTCAGTTAAACACATCTCCTCGACGCTATACGCTCCGAAGAACCCTGGAAAGCGGCCGTCGTCGTGATATGAGTTCATCCGAAGACAACGATGATGCGGAGAACCAGCCACACGCAACCCCGCCATTGCGACTTACAACAAAAAAGGTGTCTCGGCAGCCACCCGAAGCCCGTATAATAAACCTTTCAAATGAGCGCAATCTCGCATATGAACGGCAGGCAATACCTACAAGAGCAGTTGCTCCAAGACGCAAACAACTTAAACCAGAAAATCGTCTGCAGAAAGTCCACCGTGAGATTGTGCGCTTGCAGCACAGCGAACTCTTCATGATACCGAGATTGCCATTTTCGCGAGTGGTGCGCGAAATAATGATGGAACACACAAGGGCGCCCTTCTGTATTACTAAAACTGCATTGGAGGCCATACAGACCGCAACAGAAATGTACCTAACCCAACGCTTTCAAGATGCTTTCATGCTAACCCAGTATCGTAGCCGCGTAACTTTAGAGGTACGCGACATGGCACTTGTGGCATATTTCTGCAAAACATACGGAAATCTTTAAAAAAGCTTATTTAAATTTATATATGTATCTAGTAGTTGTTATTTACATACAACATATATTAAAGTATGGATATATTATTTTAGCGAGGTCACACGTTCTTTGATCACCGTCTTGGTAACCTATCTCCACTCTGACTAAATAAATATATTATTACCAAATATATTTAGAACAAAAGCATTATTTCTTTGGACGACAGATTCGATATTGTGTGATCTGTTCATCGGAATAAACTCAATGTTTTAAACAGCTAAAAGCTTTGTGTCTGCTGCTCATTTTCTTCTGCATTTCAGGCATCAAAGGTTGGTTGTTGAATAATGAGCAATGTCTTTTCAAAATCGGTGATCATATTCAGTATTAATATTCTTGCGAACATACATTTTATGTGTTATATATTCTCAGTGAGTAACTAATATATCAACATCAATTATAATATAATTATAACGGAATAACACAAATAGATCATAAAGATTCAGGCGCACGCCCAATAGATATAAATAAGGAAATAAAGAGAGTCCTAAATACGCATTGTCTGTCTTTGTTTCATTTGGGTTTGGCCATATATTGAGCTTTAAGCAAGCCAAAAATTGAGTGTTTTCTTTTGGCATGTGATTTTATCTCCTTTTTTGCACTAAACAACATTTAGCACACAATAAAATACTATAGGCTACATCGTATTTTTTTACAATTTACACAAAAATATATAAAATATATTTATATACCTAATATATTATATAAGCATAAAATTAATATCGGTATGCCTCCTTTTTTTTGTGTTACAATAACAGTTATAAATTAATTATGCTATAATTTGTTTCGTATTAACATTTCGACGGTAAATTTTGTTGGGTTGAGTTCAAATTTGGTTAAACTTTGGCTAAACACCGTAATTATTTGAAAAATTAAATCGACTTATTGCTCTAGTGAGCTTTGCTCTTAGACTTTCGGTGTGAAGTGCCACCATTTTTGTCAGCTCCAAAGTTGCTTTGGCTACCCACCGAAATAGTGTTCGAAACCTTAGGACTATACGGAATTCTAAATAGTTCGATGCGAAGATGATGACAAATCTCTAGGCAAACCTGCGCACAGTAACGCAATAGATCCTGTGTGCTCCAGGCTAGCGTAAACCAGAGCAGCCAAATCTCTGGTACAATACAATTAAAGTACTGATTCAGGAACAATAATCCGGGACCCAATAGCGACCAGTCTAGGTACTCCATTTCCGCCTTAGTCATATGAGCTATCTGCGTCACAAAAGAGGAACGTTAATATGATTAAATGATTTAGGGTTTTATTGATGCTCATCAAGGATGTACATACTTCATCAGGTCGAAAACTCAGCCACTATCATATTGATTCTGACCGAGATTATAAAGTATATATAGCATAGAAACACTTACCACCAGCTTGTTGGTAATTTTGGCAGCTACCATTCCAAAAGCCAGAATAAAAACAGAAGCATGTTCAGTGAAAATGTTATCCGGTGACTTTTGCGCTATCATCAGTGCTGGCAGCACTACTAAAGTCAGTGGTATACTAGGTGATAATACACTGGTTCCCTTTGTATAAGTGGAAGGAAAATTAAATATTATTATTCATTTGACTCGGCTGATTCGTTTCCGTTGCAAAATTGCAAATAGTGCTATAAAATTTGAAAAAGGCACTTCTTGCAAGTTCACAAATTGCAACGTTGATCAAAAACAATTTTTTTTTGGCTTTTTGTTTGGAATAATAGTGAATTTTTTTAAACGAAATTGTAGGTGTGGATGAGTGTTTTTTGGTAATTATGAGAGAGCGGGTCGCTTACTGTATAAGCAAGGCAATAATACAACACCAATGCATAAGAAGCGTTTTCAGAACTTTAAAATGAATTTACAATAACAGTAAAAGTAACACATACATAAAACAGTTAGTAGGTACAAATAGTAGTTACATATAGTAAGCCAAGAAAGACCAGATATCTTCGGATTGCCGATGATTATATACCCTTGCAGACGCATTTATCAAATCGCTCCTAAGGTTGTGAACTTTTACAAATCTAACAGTAAACTTGGCTATGAGTCAAATTCATACAAACAGATCAATCGACTGTAGTCCGATAAATTTTTGTCAACATCAATGCTTCACACTTCTTAACAGTAGTGTATTTCTCCCTGCAAGGGTATAGAAAGTACTCGAACAACTTTGATTAAAAATTCGACATTTATTACATATTCCTATAGGTAGTCATCTACTTGTCTAGTGATCAGGCTTCTGTGTGTTGTGCTACACTTTTATTCAAATAAACAAAATCTTACTGCAACAGATGATCCATTCTTGCCACAGCCCTCGTTTAAAATAGATTTGGCATAACGTAATGCTAAACTCAAATCAACTCCACTGGCTATATAGAACGGCAAATAACGTGTTTCACATTCAAGATATGGCATCTGATGAAGTTCATAAATTTTTGTTGTTGTCATTTTTGTCAAAATAGTCATAGGTTGAAAAGAAAGAAAACGTATGTATTAATATGAATATTAAACAAATTTAAATTTATTATCAACGAAATAAATATATGGGGTGGAAACCCCATATTTTTGGTGTATCAAATTTGGTAACCCTTAAGATCAATCTACTAATATTTAATGCTATTGAAACTAACGCTAAAGCATATTATACAAATATAAGGGGTTAAAAATGCATAGCTAAAAAAATTTTAAGTGCAAACAAGGAGAATTTTTATTCCAAAGCTATTTAGTGTAATAGAATTCATTAATTTCGTGATTAATTCCATAAACACTATTCAATAGCTATGTTATAAGAGCAAAAGACAGACAGGATGCGCTCTTCAGATCAGGTTAAATATATAATAGCCCATGTAGATGATATCATTTTATGCTAAATTAAATTATTATGATAGTTAAACAACAAGTAATGTGACTTATTCCATCTAAAGGTAAAACGAATTTTATGCGGTCGTTCCACACCTCCATGCAGGCTAAACCAAGCAAAAATATCATAAAATGCAATAGAATATTTAGAAACCATGAATAACATTCGCATTGAATCTTAAACCCTAGTGACCATGTGTCCACGTGATGGATAAACTAATGAGTCAATCCAATAAATGTTTGTAGTTAATATATTATTAGTACGATTAGTAAACTAAATTTTGGTTCGAAACAATTTCAATTCGTAAATGAATAGCAATGCTTACAGCAACTGATGAGCCGTTTTTGCCACTGCCGCCTTGAATAAACATTTTGAGAAAACTGATTATATTTAAAGTATAACCGAATGTGATAAATAATAAAATTGTGTAATTCCATGAAACTCCCACGATTGGAATCTATTGTAGATGAAAAGAGATCACAGAACAAAACAAAAAAGGAAAGAATTGTTTTTTAAATTGATAGCTAAACTGTAAGCCTTAATTATTTGTAGATTTGCTCTTAGCATATGCAGTAATATTATAGAGCTGAAAACAATCGAGAGCGAGTTTCGGCAATATCTATCCAATTCGATTGCATCTTCGCACAATCGGGTGGGATAGTAATGTAATAAAAATGGTTTTTAAGTAAAATTCTTGAAACTATATTATCGGTTGAGAGCACCTCGGTAGTTTTTCAGTTCTAATGCCAAATTAAATGGCAATGTAAACATTCCAATATTTTGTATCAATCTAACTTAGATTTATTTCAATAATAAATACTTAAACATAATATTAGGTAAAATAACAACCCGTCGCCAACAATATAAATACATACATATATATATAAAATGTGCATAAGAACGCCTAATCAATTTTTTTGCCCATATAAGTGACAAAACAAGATACAATTTTGCATTTAGTAGCATATAGAATAAGGCATTCAACAGTTTAGAGCATGCCAAGAGTCAACAATATTAAATAGTCAACAAGATTAAAAGTTGGTTAAAGCACTAGGCGAAGAGGCAGAAGCAGCGCCAGTGAAGTCAGAGAAACAAGAACGGCACAATTTACAAAAATTTATATGTATATAAAAATTATAAATGAAGATAGTTAAGACAAGCAATTGTAGTAATATGGAAAAGAAAAATCCCACGCCACGATCCTACAAATCGGCAGCAGGGAATTTTAATGTTGAACATCATTTTTGAATTAAGAGCCAAAACAGTTTTTGTTGTGTGTGTCTTTGTTTCTGTTTGAGATAAGCACAGGAGAATATACAAATTTTCAGAGGTTTTACACTTAAAAATTCGAAAAGCCTTCTGATTTCGTTTGCCAAAATTTTTGTTCAGTTCAGTTATATATATTTTTTTGAATATAAATAAAAATTAGATTTATTATTATTATGTTATGAAATGAAAGGTTAAATATTTGCACATATCTCCGGTGACCGAAGATGTTTATTAACCTTGTCTTGCAAAAGCTGATAGCTGTAAATAAAAACAATATAGCATTGCACATTAAAGTGCGAATATACAATATATAACACTTGCACTAAAACGGAATTTTAAGGAAAAAGAATCTTAAGACAAAAATATTTGGCTAGTAGAAAAATTAAATTTTTGTTTTCCTTTCTAATCGGCGAAATGTATATTTCTAACGTAATCAAAGATTTCGAATCAAGTTTATAGTTCAATATAACCCAAGAAATGTTAAAAGTATATATTTTTCTCCTGTGCGCTGTATAAATTCCATATTTTGTAGTATTTCTTTGTTTTCGTGTGAGTGTTTAGAACTTACAGCAACTGTGGAGCCATTTTTGCCAACACCACCGGCCACAACGACGGAAAATACATAAGTTAAGGAGAGCATACCACACACAATGGTCGTAATAGCGGGACCAGACCAAAGCTCAATACTGCCAATTCCAATCTATGATCATATAATGGTTACGATTGTGTGTGTGTGTGTGTATAGTAGTTGTTCGTGTTTAGTAGGAGATTAGGCATTTTGTGTTGTTTTGTGGCAGTGGCACGCATTTGTATGCAACATAAAAGTAAAAGGTATTAAGACGATTACAATGTGTTTGAGAATTATTATCTATAAGCTAAATATAGTTATATACATGACAGAGTTTTTGGTTCAAATTCGAGCTAGTTAAAAGTCAATAAGAGTGTATTAATAGTAATATTGAAATTGATGCCAGTTTCCATTAATTTTGTTTATTAAAATGGTGCGTTCAATGACAAAGTAACTTTTTCTTTTTTTTTTATCTGCAGAATATATATTTTAATTCCATTTAATCCATGAAATCAACAAAAATCGAATGTCAATCAGTAGTTGAATGAATTTTTCGTGTGTGGCTTATGGCCTAATCTTTTCTCTCCAATACAAAAGTATCGAATATTCTTTATCCTTCTGAGTTTAGTAATCTTTATAGAGTTTGAGAGAGAATTATTATAATTAAAATGTATGGTTATACTTATAAGTAAAATCAGAAACAGTTACTTCTGCTACACTCAAATTGCAACCAAACTTGCTCAATAAATCGAATCAAAGCGCACACAACTTGATCAAGAAATTGAACATTACATCTTAAGGTTTTTGATACAGGTATTTGTACTTATAGGCATCATTAGCATTTTCTAATAATGAAATCATTATGCACCTTTACTGGGCTCAACAACATCCGTTATATCTAACTTGAGCCTAAAGTACTAGCAGGATCTTGACATTTGCATAATCATAAAATGTCACTAGAATCTAAAATACGCTTAAAAAAAACTTTAACTTTAACTTCTGAAAAACTTGATTTAAAACGAAATCAAAGTTGTAAGGGGATTAATATTAATTTTAACTATTTCGGCACAAAGCTAATCGACCCAGATGACTTACCTTCGTCAGCCAGACTTCGGGTCCCAGGGCAGCCGAAACCAAATGTATGGCAATAATGGAGAACTGCGCCTCCGTGACATCGATTCGTCCGAAACGCATCGTCCCGGAGACATACGTCTGCCAATGGGCACAATAGAACAATGCAATAGCGCAAAAACACTGCAATAATACAATCGAATATAAAAATAATATTAAATAAATATTATGAATTCAGTTTTTACCTGAAAGAAAAGCCAGTTTGGATAGTGACCGAGTTGGCAGGATATACACGCCGATAAAGCCACAAATATAGTTGATATGGAATCACAGCCATGGTCAAAAAGTTCGCCTAGAGGCGATGAAGTGTTGGTACGGCGCGCCTGCTTCCCATCAATAGAGTCCAGACTTTGATAGACAAACAGGCCAAGAGCACACAGAAAGCAAGTCCAACGTGGCGGTGGATCAATACCATTTGGACTATAGCTGTTAGTGCGAAATGAACATAATTTTTAATGGTATCGATTTTCGTTTTTCTGCAATATTAGACTTATATTAATGATATTATTTCAATATTCTTGGTGAATTTATATCACTATTGGAAATATATATAACTATCATATGCATAATTTGTATAGCAAAGTACGTGAGCTGAGAAAGTCACACAATGAAGAACTGTCAATAAATGTTAAACACGTTCTGTTTCCATAAAATAACATGATAATCATATTCTAAACTAATCAGTAAATCATAGACCGCAGCTTGCATATTCTGAACTAATCAGTAAATCATAGACTGCAGCTTGCATTATAGTTCACTGAAAAAGCTAAAATATACCATCTGACCTCTTAATCTGACCTCTTATTTTATATAAATCCTCTTATATCTAATTTCGACATGATAAAGTAGTCCACCTTTCTTTATGCATTTTTTAAATGGTCCAAATAATGGGTAGTAATGGTCCAAATATAGGGTAGTTACTGTCTCCATTTAATTTCAATTAAAAATTAATTTTAATTTGTAGAGGGGGAAATGATTGGAAATACATAAGAGACCGTGATTGATAGGAATGTGGGGGCTATACAACAAGACTGAGTCAAAAGTTTATGTGACTGTGCATGTACAGCAAACGATAAATATTCAGCTATTTTCGTATGAGTTCGAATGTTTTTCTAGTTGTCATTCAAGCACTAGAATTTGTCGCGATCGACAAAATGGAAATTCATTAGCTATGTAAATTTTAATTTAATTCAATCAAAGCAATTATTAAGTATGTACCAAAGAATATTGCAAATACTGCACTTGAAAGTAATTTACCCCGGAGGTTAATTGAATTGAGCTTTTGTGTACAAGGGAACCCGATTTTTTTAACAAGATTTACACTCTTTTGTTTTCTAATATAGATATATATATATAATTAGACATATAGTAATCGATGTAATACCTCTGTAGTTTCTCAAGTGGTTATTTATTTTATTTAATGCATTGAAACAAGCCTAATAATAAATGACAGATGATAGGCAATCATTTTTTATTTTATCTAAATCCTCTTAAATCTAATTTCGTCATGATAAAGTAATATCCACGTTTCTTTATAAAAATTTTATGTGGTCCAAATAATGTACAAATTCACCAAAAACGATAACGAAAGAATATTAATTTATGCTCATCTGTCTGGTAAAATAGTGTGTATGAAACTAGATGTATGTTTCTTATATCCGTTTTTTCTTTTTATCACACGAATATATCATAAAACACACGTTAGGACTGTGAAAGTTCAATTAAAAACTTGGCTTTGAAATAAGCGTTTCCATTTTGTGTTGGACCACAAGGAAAGTTGAGCTTGTTAGAATTTTAAGGCAAATTGTATAGAATTTTTAATTTAAGTTTGTCTTGGAGAATTTCGAGTTTAAGTATGACTGTATTTAAATAACTTATTTACTTTAACGTAGGGGTCAACATTCATAGAGCAATGAAAGTGAGCGTCAGCGATAAGCAAAGGACGTGGAACTGTACACATGTACATACATCTACATTATATAGATAATTGCACTTGCTCACTTCGCACTGCTTCTTATCACCACTGTTCTTTACAATAGCTTGTCGCAACCAACTAAACATATAACCACTTACGCACCAAGAACAAACACGCCACCCAATAACCTCACACAATCGCGCGTTTTCACTGCCATGTATAATGGCGTTATATGTATTTCTGTAAGAATATATGTAACATTACATATATCTAATCTTATGCTTACGTATACGCGCGATTGGTTAGAAAAAAGACTCACCATATTAATATCAAAGTTGTTACAATATTGAGTATTAGACCAACAATTGTTATTAGATTAGGTGCCAGCCAAAGTGGCGTTTGGGCGACCAACCAATTCCACCAGGGCTGCAGCAGAGGATCCAGCAGGCTTGCGCTAAAGCACGAGTATTTGTGTTCGGTAAGCTTGCGCAGCTGCTGGGGACTGAGAATGTGACGTTCTTTATAGGCAAGTAGCGGCATTCTTGTTGAGCGGGTGGCAACGGTGAAACCGACAAAACAAAAACCGGGAGCACTTGACAGTATGACAGGGCGCGGAAAATATCAAAATTACACACACGCTACACGCTACACTTGAGTTTGCAATTTTCACTCGCGTGCATATATGTACATATGAACGTACGTCTATGTGTGTAGATACCGTGTCAAATAATTTTTTTAATAAGTACCCCGTAAAATGACCCACATAAACTAATGCAGTTGTCTTCAACACAAACACAACCTGCACGACTTGACCACCTTTTTAAAGTTAAATGTTTTATGCGTGTACAAATGAATATGAATACGTGTTCTCTTTGCACATGTCTATTTTAGTATAATTATTTTAACTCTCGTGCGCGTAACAATCCATCAGTGTCGTCGCTACAAATGCAGTGCTACCATCCGTTTTTAAAGCGAATGTACTAGATTTTCCGAAATGATTATACAGATTTTACTTTTTACCAGCCCGAATGATGAATTTTATGTCAACTAAAATACACAATGTACGATTACAGAACAAATTTTTCCATATCTCGTGAAGTATCGCATTTCAGCGCAAAATATAATATATCGATAAGCCATATCGATTATATCGATGTTTCAATAGGTATATCTCATCTCAAAAGCTTTTGGAAATTAGATTCACATATTTATGGAGTTAGGTTTCGCCTTGGCCACACCAATGTTCTATATCCTCTTTATTATTCCCAGCATCAGAAACAAAAACAAATTCATTGGATTTTGTATAATTTTATTAGATAAACCAGAATCTGCTCAAATATATTAATCAAATGTAAATATTTATCGTTTGTAATGGTTATCCAACTAATTAATTAAATTATTTCCCAGTCTAAACTTCACTTTTTGCTTACCCACATAATTATTAGTAAACTTAGTTAAAAAACATTTAAGTCCTGCAGCCCCCACTGAATGTGCATATAAAAACTTTAGCTATCAAATAGATTTGACATGAGGCAAGTTAATTTTTCATTTAATTTTCATAGATGTTAGGAAATACATATAAAAATATTATTTTTCGGTGTAATTACTGATATTGGCAACTTTATATTTATTGTTATGCATAATGTACGTAATGTTAAGAATGTGCAACTACTTGTCAGTTAAATATTATGACAACAAAAGACACGTATGTAAAACAATAGCAAAATATAATAGTATGTATTTATTTATAGCACAATATATTTCAGTAACAAATAAGTTATTTTTTGAGCATGTTTGCAAATGTTCATTAAATGTGAGTCACCCTGCTTCGTACAGAAAAAAATTCAATTGTTTTACAAATGCCAGCAACTGAATACAAATTATCCGAATGTCTTAATTATTTAAATGATGAAACCAATTTTACACAATTTAGTTAAAGGCGCTCGAAAAATACGTACATGTGCAACTGATGCAAAATTGTATGCTTAATATCTTGTTCAATATATATAATTATATATTAAGGTTAAATATGATAATAATAATTTTAAATGTCTTCGCTTTGAGACATTTAGGCAAAAGGTTGTTTTATAGTGATTTTTTTTTAAAAGCGGTAGGTTTCTGTTTATTTTTTTTTAATGGTAATGTTAAAATATATTTAATCATAAATCTTTCATCTTTCACACACACACACACATACGCATGCAGACAAATTTAATAGCACATTGAGAGTGGTGTACATGTACAACTACGTATGATATATATGTATGTATCAGAAATTGTCCTGTTACACTAACAATATTGTGCCATGTCTTATATTCATCATACAAGAGGATTCAATTGTCAGTTTAGTTTGTATTTTGTTACAATTTAAAGTACCGCAGAAAATGCTTGTCAATAATGTAAAAAATGCATTCGATTTTGATGCTTACAGATACCATATGTATCAATATGTCATGCCATATTATTGAACAGCACATACAATAATATGCATTCCAAATTAGTTTTAAATAATTAAGTGGTTTCTGAGTTATGCTTATGTATGTGTGTGATGGTGTGTACATTATTATGAATGATATGGCGTTACATAGGTTGCTGGAAAAATGCCTTTCCTATTGCCGATCTCGCCATTCCACCAATTCTCATCGGAACGATCTGTAACGGTAATGACGTCACCGCGTCTAAAGTCCAATTCACCAGACTCCTGTGGTACAAAATCGTATAGTGCCTGCACGAGCATCTGCAACATAACACATAATATTTGTATTTGTTAATGTTGCTAACTCTGGAAACACTTCAATAAAAATACATATTAATGAATATTTTAATATCTGATCTTTGAGTTCTTAAAATGAAACTAACTTTCTACTTCAAATATGACAATAAAAAAAAATTTTAATCGGTATGCACATATACTCTCTGTGAGCTACAGATTTTAGGAAGTATTACAGCCCTGACAATGAATATAAATTTGTATATATATATATATAGGCTTTTTGTGGTGGATCTGGGGTATTTGTTTTCAATTATATTTTACGAATATTAATTTCTTAAAGTCCCTAATATTTAAAGTCAAATAATTAATTTGTTAGCAAGATATAATAATCCTTCATTTAGAATCTACTTTGTAGACACACCTCTTCAGGTATCATATCACGCAATTTGACATCCTGGGATCGCGAAACGCTTGCCGTTCTATGATACTCGACCAATTCGTTGAGGGAATTAAATTTGACTACCCAGAGGAAAAATTTGCTCTGCGCGTCCCGTAGCACTTTAAAATGTTGCACGCCATCCGGACATCTGTGAAACAATGCAGTGACAATAAATATATTACAGATTGACTATCTGAATTTACTCACTTGACAGATAAAGAAAAGTCGCCAGGGCTAGATTCGCTGATGCGTATTAAAAATGCTCCTTCATGTTTATTTGACAGGAGTTTCTCCGCATCGGCACGTGTAATGCGTCCGTAGTACCAGCTTAAATTAATTATATTGGTTATAAACAGTTATTTTACTTATTTCCATTATGAGTTTTATTATTTGGGCCTTACTCGTGATTTTTCATTTCTATATAATTACTGGGTATGAGCCCTTCCTTCCCATCTAATTCGGCGCGATACCAATTCGAATCGTCCTCCATATTTAATATCTGTAAATATAGAATATTTTTGATCATGAATTGTTTTGAGATTGATGATAGTAAGTTAACAACTGGTAAGGCGTATGATAAGTCCTAACAGTCTAACGGACCTTGTGCTTTTAATGAAGCCTCAAGAAGTCTTGGCAGCATTACTGATAAGCCACTGGTTAAACTTTTGATCTGAATGCAACTGATAAACCATCGAGAGGCAGCAACAGCAGCTATTTTATAAACCATAGTTTAGGTCAATGACATCATTAATTAAACATAATAAATAACTTTAAAGCAACACTGGAAAACAAAAATTTGGAACGCTAAGTGCCTATCCCGCTAGTGGATAGACCGTAGAGAATAAGAAGAGGAACTAAGCTGCAGTCAGTCTACAGCGCCCTGACAAGAAAAGTTCTAATTTTGCCTGCAAAACCAAAGAGAACCAATTGCTTAAGGGAACTCCAAGTGCAAGGCAAACGCAAACCTTAAAGCTTAAGAGATGAGGGCAGTGGGAAGAAAACCAGATTAACTAATAGTATTTGGGCTTTAGGATTCTGCCCCCATATGAGTAAAACATTGGTATATACACTGCTTTTTGCAGATAATCGCGATTTTCGTTAGTAACTGTTTATATAGATTCTTTTCGATTTTTGTCGCTTCCCGATCCTGTATACCCCTCCAGATGTTCTTACAAATTTGTAACACATTGTTATGCATTGTGTTTAGTGACAGTTGGTAATTGGTATGTTTTAGATTACATTTTTGTGCTCTCACATGTTTTAACATAAAATTCGATAACACCGATTTATCTGCAATATTTCAATATGTCCGCGATCTGATCCCTATTCACATTTAACTTATAATAGTTTTAATTCTGCCGGGTATACATGCTTAATATGGATCGTATAAAGAGCATAGAGACTCCTTTCGGTCTGAAGAATTATATTTAACATATGTATTCACAGATGTGTACATTTAAACAAATATGTGATATATGCAGTAAATTTTCCTTACCTTTAGAATTTGAGTTTTGCGAAAACTGAGTTCATCATCGGCAGTAGCAGAGAAATCATGTTTGGCAATTGCTTCCATTTTGTATTGTGTGAATTGTGTTTCAATTGTTGTTCTTCTAACTAGTATTTGTTTTAGGTTTAGTTCATTTACTTTTTTAATCAGCCTTGTTACTCACGCATTAACACATACGCTTATACATACATATGTATATGCAATTGTAAGTTGCTTACTCCCTAAGCCTTATGTGGAAAAAATTCTATAGATTTTGCATGTGAAATCAACACACAGCGAAACTTATTATATAAACAATAACTTATATGTATTTAACTGCACGTTTCCAAATTAGTACAATATTTTCAAAGCACAGGCAGCGAGAAAAGTGATTAAAAATACACCGACGACGATGACGGGCCGCAGCCAGGCCAGCAAGAGAGCAACAAACGCGAAGTGATAGCGGCACTCACGACGAAGCAACTGAAAATGACAAACCTTTGCGAGTGTGTGTGCGAGAAAGATGGAGAGAGAGAGAGAGAGACAATGAGTTTGTAAAGTATTGCCAGCAGCGTGTAATTTATGAATTTCCCATAAAACTGGCTTCCAAAATTTAAATAATAAAAAATCGAACAAACTTCAATTCAGAAAATATTCATAATATGCCACATATTTATGTTGTATAAATTTATAGCAAAAAGCAAAACAGTGCATGTCGTTTCTGTTGGCAATGCTGCTCCGCTAAGCGCTGACGTTGTTGTTTATTCTTTAACCCCTCTATACACATATACACATTCACATGCATTATTTGTAAATTATTTTGTCTGTTTTGTTGTTTTGTATTTTTGCAATTTAGTGTTAATGTATTTTTTTATATTATAATTTGAGGTCAATTAATAAATTTCTTAATTTCTTCTGATATAAAATGCATCAGTGTAGGGCAAATGGTGCGGTCACACCAAATTGAGAAATGTGGCAACGTTGTTTTTCTCTATCGAACGGTCAAATTAGCTTAGTCATCATCGAGTTAAAACTCCAGTCAGTCAGGTCTTTTAGTAAATGCAGTGATTGCTTTTCTTTCTGTAACGCAACTTTACTGTTGTTGATAAATAATAAAAAAAAAAGAAAAGTAAAATGGAAAATCGTAAAATCTTATTTAAGTCACAATCGAGGGTTCTAAGCCCGCACAACCATATTAAAATAAACCGCGAAAGACAGCGCGTCACTCGCGCTTTAAATCGTGAGAAGCATTTTCAGAGCAATCGCAACATAGGTATTAGTCCCAGTACGGTGAAAACTGTGACGGCACCGAAGCCGAACTGCTCTTCGCTGACTGATACAAACGACAATCGCGAGAATCAGCCGCCTGGGCCTGAGAATGAGTCTTCTATAAGTAAAATGCCAAGGGGCCAAGAGGATTACCTTCAACGGTTTATGAAGTGGCGGACGGCTTCTAAGCAACAAGTAGCCCATAAACAACAGCAAAGGAACACAGAGGCACCGTCACAGCAAACACCAACAAAAAAAGATAAGCAAAAACGTCAGTCAGTATATGTTGTTGTTGATTCCAAACCAGCACCGCCAACTTCAATGAAGAAACAACTGGCTAATATAAGAACACCATTTGGTTTTGCTGCTGAGACAAAGACCTTTTCAACTATACCGCCAGTATCAGCTACGAGTCGAGCAATAGTTCTGAAACCGGAAACAAAGTGGATGCAGAAGGAGAACAAACCGATTATAGAAAATACTAAAGTAACGACTATACAAAAGTCAAAACCGTCAGGGACGATTGAGCTCGCTAAAACTGCAGTCAGTTCAGTTAATAGTACATCGAGGCCCATAAGTTTAAGGGCGCAGCCTTTCAATGTGCCCAAAGTTGGCAATAGTGCCATAGGATCATTGCAGGGCGGCGGTGCAGTAGGCAAATTTAAAGCAGTTGCAGTTGGGGTAAAAAACGACATATCTTCTCAGCTCAAAACACGGATGAAGGCAAAAAATACTGTGCCCGTTAACGGCAGGAAGAAAGACTGCATGAATATAAACAAGGACATGATGAAAGCAACTTTGCTTTTGCAGCCACCCAGTACGCCGCTTGATTTCGCCCACAATAATAATTTGTTTCAGGCACAGGCAACCTCTACGCAATGCAAGTCTAATAATAGTTCCGCCAATTTGTTTGAAGCATACAATTTAAGCCCTGTGCAAGTTGGTGAAAAGTCCTGTGCAAAGAGACAGTTGTTGCCATCGAAGTCCTCGAATGTACAGGAAAAACGCAAATGTAATTTTGTGCGTTGCTCAGAGGCAAATGAGTTGATTGTATCACCTTCAAAACCAGAAATAGGTGAGCTTAGTAACAGTTAATAAGATCATTTTAGTTCATTCCTAAATATTAACCGATAATTGGTAATATAAACAATTTTAGATGAAATGACAGTGATGCCGGTAACGCCACAACGAGATCCAGAGGTTCAGCCAAATTACCTGAGCCCATTTGTGAGCGTTTCACGCGGCAAAGTTAACACTCGAGCAGAGGCTGAGAAGAGAAACAGCATATATCTGCAGAGACAGGATCAGGAAAAACCAGAGGCGTCCGTTTTAGTGCGACGCACACAGGAATCGGTGCTATATTTTCGTTTGCAGCTAGATAACGAAATTAGACGCCTACATTCGCTCTGTGATGAGTGGCACTTATATAGCAACCAAAATAAAACGCAACTGCATGAAACTGGAGGAATGGATATGATAGATGTGGCTATTGGGCAGACTAAGCTGCTGACCAGTAAAAAACTTATGCAGTTTAAGGATTTAATTGATCGCTGTGAAGCGGGTGCTACAGGAATCGGTATGCGACCAAATGATGGCGAGTCTACTAAGGTGGTTTTAGTCGAAGATTTGGAAGGCTGGTGGGACTTGATCCGTTTGCAGAGCGATAATTTAAATAAACGTTTCGATAACCTAATCCGCTGGAAAGCCAACAATTGGTTGGATCCAGATACAGTGGTACTGCAATCTAATCCCAACGTACACGTAAAAAATAAGAAAAAGGCAACCGCCAAAGCAAGCAGTCACTTAAAAGATTTTTTACGCAAGGCCTATGCAAACAAGCGCAATAATGAGGCATCTGAATGTCTGAAAGAGGTGAATCTTGAGCTCGCTAAAACTGCAGTTAGTTCAGTTAATAGTACATCGAGGCCCATAAGTTTAAGGGCGCAGCCTTTCAATGTGCCCAAAGTTGGCAGTAATGCCATAGGATCATTGCAGGGCGGCGGTGCAGTAGGCAAATTTAAAGCAGTTGCAGTTGGGGTAAAAAACGACATATCTTCTCAGCTCAAAACACGGATGAAGGCAAAAAATACTGTGCCCGTTAACGGCAGGAAGAAAGACTGCATGAATATAAACAAGGACATGTTGAAAGCAACTTTGCTTTTGCAGCCACCCAGTACGCCGCTTGATTTCGCCCACAATAATAATTTGTTTCAGGCACAGGCAACCTCTATGCAATGCAAGTCTAATAATAGTTCCGCCAATTTGTTTGAAGCATACAATCTAAGCCCTGCGCAAGTTGGTGAAAAGTCCTGTGCTAAGATACAGTTGTTGCCATCAGAGTCATCGAAGGTACAGGAAAAACGCAAATATAATTTTGTGCGTTACTCAGAGGCAAATGAGTTGATTGTATCACCTTCAAAACCAGAAATAGGTGAGCTTAGTAACAGTTAATAAGATCATTTTAGTTCATTCCTAAATATTAACCGATAATTGGTAATATATACAATTTTAGATGAAATGACAGTGATGCCGGTAACGCCACAACGAGACCCAGAGGTTCAGCCAAATTACCTGAGCCCATTTGTGAGCGTTTCACGCGGCAAAGTTAACACTCGAGCAGAGGCTGAGAAGAGAAACAGCATATATCTGCAGAGACAGGATCAGGAAAAACCAGAGGCGTCCGTTTTAGTGCGACGCACACAGGAATCGGTGCTATATTTTCGTTTGCAGCTAGATAACGAAATTAGACGCCTACATTCGCTCTGTGATGAGTGGCACTTATATAGCAACCAAAATAAAACGCAACTGCATGAAACTGGAGGAATGGATATGATAGATGTGGCTATTGGGCAGACTAAGCTGCTGACCAGTAAAAAACTTATGCAGTTTAAGGATTTAATTGATCGCTGTGAAGCGGGTGCTACAGGAATCGGTATGCGACCAAATGATGGCGAGTCTACTAAGGTGGTTTTAGTCGAAGATTTGGAAGGCTGGTGGGACTTGATCCGTTTGCAGAGCGATAATTTAAATAAACGTTTCGATAACCTAATCCGCTGGAAAGCCAACAATTGGTTGGATCCAGATACAGTGGTACTGCAATCCAATCCCAACGTACACGTAAAAAATAAAAAAAAGGCAACCGCCAAAGCAAGCAGTCACTTAAAAGATTTTTTACGCAAGGCCTATGCAAACAAGCGCAATAATGAGGCATCTGAATGTCTGAAAGAGATGAATCTTACACTAGAACGTCGCTCATTAAACCGTACTTTTGTGGTTCGCGATCACAAATCGTCGTCACCAGCCCGGACCCTGCTTCGTGTGCCCAGGTGCATGAGCAAACAACCATCGAATATACGAAACCTATTATTAAAGTCTGCAATTCTGGGCGCAGCCGAAGAGATTTCAGAAAATCAACAGATGCCTCCAAAGAATCGCATTTCTATTCTGAAAACCCCAGGCTCTAAAAAACGTGAAACTCCTGTTCGCAATGTTGCGTTCAGTGCGAAGAAAAATGTGCGTCGTTTTCAGTTCACGTTTGAGGAAGGTCATCGCAGAGAAGATGACGACGCTACTGCAGGCATTGATAAGTTAGAAGATTGTGAAGAGGATGTGTCACCAAAGAAAAGATTGTCTCACAGCGATGAACAAGAAGGAAGTTCGCGTATTTATTATCTTCGCAATCGTAAGATTGTACTGCGACCATCTACGGAGTTTATGTAGCATTACAAATATTTGATATTTTATATTAAGGGTCAAATATTGTCCACAAATAATGAAAGAAAATTTGAATATATTCCCGCTTACTTTTAAAGTTAAAACCCCTTTATTTTATTTTTTATCTAACGTTAGCTAACATATGTAAAATTTTAATTAATTATTCACTTAAAATTGCAAAGAGCTGAAAATAACAGAATTGATGTTTTTAGTAGTTCAGTGTCATTAGGGTGCTGGTTAGATTACCTTAGTATATATACCAACTGCATCAAACAAGTTTTCTTTTAAAATTCTTCCTTTTTACCAATTCTTCCTTAATATATAAATATATTTTTACCAAATCTTATGTTCGTATGATTGTTCCTATGTTAGCTCCATACATATCTAATATGGTGGTCCGATCAAGTGAACTCCGACAAATGTCACTAGGGGTTTATACATTGTTCACACAATTTCTTCAACATGCAATTTTGTATATGTATATAGTTATAAATTTATTTGCAGTTTAGTTAAGGTCAACTTTTACACAAAATTAAATATACGAATTTGGAGAAAGAATTGGACAAAACACTGTTTACTTAATATATATGTACGTATTAGGACCTTTAACTGAAGAAAATCGCTTAAGAATATAATTAACTTTCAAGCAAATCTTTTAGGCCGTTGTCTTGGGATCGTCCATATGAAGTGTATCGTTTTTCTCCTTGGCAAATGTAATAATCTGATTTAAGCTTTCGCCCAACTCTTCCATCACCTCCCGCTCCGTAGAGTCCTTACACATTCTTTGCTTCTCATGCATAACAATGCGCGATATCATGCACATTATAGTCGCTTCTATTACATCGTCTGTTAGATAAACATTCGAACGATTGTCCTGCAGATATGTCCCGTTCAGTTCTTTTCTTTTATTCGCTACGTCTGCAAAATTATCTATAGAGTCCATATCGACATCCGGACGATCTTCCATATTACGACACCCTTCAAATTAAAATAAGAAGATTAAAAAAAATGTTACTTTTACAAGTTGTTTAGAGCTTGACTTGATATGAAATACGTACCTACGCATTTACACATGGTGGAACAGGGTATTTTGGCCTCGTAGCACTCGCAGTAATTTTTTAGACATCCCGATCGTTTGCAATTGCAGCCTTTATTGTGTAAGCGCATGTCCCCAGAGTTCGGCGCCGTAATTTTTGGCCTTGAAGAGGAAGAAATGCAAAAAATATTAAAAATTGCTATTTGTATGTAAATTTCAACTTTAAAACACTCACTTAAATGCGCTGGGATTACGCTCCAGGGTATGGCACGCTCTCGCTTGACTTCATAATCCAGATTGTTAAAGCAATCCTTGCAAGTGCAATCCTGACAAAATTCACCATTGGCAAAACAGTCACAGTAGAGTTTTAAGCATTGAGATTTGCTGCAGTTACAGTGCTTCCGTCGGGATCCGCCCAGTACATCAAGGGATGCAGACGCCGCAGGCGACGGCGTTGGCATTGGTGCGGGCTTAAGTATGTCAAATAATGGCTTGGCTGGCACACACAACTTATTGTCCTGCGTTGACGACGATTGTAATATTGGCAGTTTCTGCTGTGGAGACTTTGTTTGCGACGAGTGCTGTTGCCGTTTCTGAAGCTGTTCCTGTCGAAGTTTAGCCTGTGCAATCACCTGTCTCTGCTGCTGCAATTTCATTTGCCTCATGCGCAACTGTTGGGCTGTCAGCGTTATGGGACGACGCAATTTGGTGTCAGCAAGCGTATAGCCACGTCTCATTGTAGTGTTAAAGACTGTACGTGGCTTTCCCTCGCCTCCTTTGTTACAGATCATATACTTGACGCCATTTGCATCACTTTTTGTGACCAGATTGTAGACCTTGTGAGTGGTGTTACTACTGATACTGCTGACAGTCTTATTGGTGCCCTGCACCGATACGCGTTGCATTTGTGATGGCCGTGCTTCTATCAACATATGTTTGGTGGCTGTTGGATTCGCTGGCATTGCTGCTGATTTCGTTTGCGGCATTGCAATAAGGTAATGTGCTTTTTTTGCCTCTGGTCCACCGGCGTCGCTGCTGTTATCGATCGCCAGATGCTTTATTTGCACATTGATGTCGGACAGCCGGTTCTTGCGTGCGACCTCCAAGCTACTGCTGTTGGTGATGGGGGTCTTAGCTTGTACTGCGTTGAATACCGTTCCAGGTGCTCTCTGGGAATTACTCAAAAAATTATTAAAATTCCCGTGAATCACTTAAATAATCCAACTCACCCTGGGAACTAATGTTTGCATGGATGGGAGGGGGACAATGCTACCCATTGTTTTCATAACTATTTTGCTGGTGTTGCTCACAGGTACACTGATGGAGGTATTGCTGTTACGACTTGAAGCTATGATTTCATTATTATTGTTGGGCAATACGCGCACATACTGCACACCGCTTTTTCCCTGCACTTGAATTGTGTGTAGACCGCTGGCGGTACCAATTGCGTTGGTTTTAGTTAAGGCGCTGGCGCCCGTCTTCGGCGATAGTTTAATAATATTTTTACTGGCGACAACAATTTGTTTGCCTGTTGAGCTTTGTACCAGCATTTTTCCTGTTGGAATTGTTGTAGGGGCTGTTGGTAGCGATGCTGCACTGCTGCTGCCACTGGTTGTTGTATTGCTGATGCTACTGCTTATATTATTGATGGCGGGTCTTTCCGATGCGCTCGCAGTTAGCGTTTTCAACGGCCCCTTTATGATAACTTGTGCTGCAGACTTGGTTATCAGCTTATTGCTGTTGTTGGTGCTTGCCAAAGAGGTAGTTATGCTGGGCTTAACCGCTACTGTTGTAGGCTTGGAATTTAACAGCAAGGGAGTCCCCTGATTTAATTTGACTAACTTGCCATCGGCCGTGCGCACTTGTATGGGCATCTTCGCGGAAACCGTTACAGATTCAGATGCAACTTCTACTGATGGTGGATTTCTAACCAAAGCTTGTGACTGATTATCAGTTGTTGACGTAATTATATTGGTACTTGATTGTGGTGTTGGCTTAGGCGTACCAGTGGTCGTTAATCCCCTGACAGTCACTGGCGCAGTGTATGCGATACTCTTAATTTGACCAGTACCAGTACCAGACAAGGTGACACCTTTAGAAATAATGGCTTGCCGTATGGCGGCGCCTGTTGACGACTGGCTCACTTTTGAAATGGCTCCACTCATACTGGACAAAGATTTTTGGATGAACAGCACTTGACCACCGGCTGTTTTTAATTGAGTCATTGTGACACTGCTCATATTCTTTTGCATAGAAGATGGTTGAGCTGAAATTGAGCCGGAGCCTGTTGGTGCTGCTATTGTGGTGCTGCCAATTTTAACAGCTGAGTTAGCAATAGCTTTCAAAGGATTCGCCTGCAGCTGATTTACGATTTTAACGTCCGTCGGTTTAGTGCTCTTTGTGGGCGTTACTACTCGAACATGTCCGCCTAACATATTTTTTAATGGCGTGCCCATGGGTGATGGTGCCGTTAAACGTTTGTTCTCCAATATTCGCACAATTGGCACTTTTTTGGATCCCGGGGTATTTAACAATGCATTTGCTGAAGCTGACGAAGATGTTTTGTTCTCATCGTCTTCAGCGCCATCACCATCGCTTTCAGCAGCATTCATGTGTTGATCTCTAGACGTTTCGGTTGGCTCCAGCAAATCGAAAAAGGTAAGCTCAGGTATTGGTGTGGTGTCGCCTAGTTCATCTGTGGGTGTTAAGAAGTATAATAAATTAATATCTTGGTTATTTAAATATGTAACAAAAATTATGTAATATACCCGAGAGCTCTGACAAGCAATGGCCAAACATATTTGCTAGCAATTCACGTTTTTCAATTCAATTTCAAAAACTTGAATCATGACCATCAGCTGCATAGTGAATGGACCTGACGTTACCCGACACTGCTCGTTCTGGCATCGCTGCTGCTATTTTTTATTATCGATAGTTGGCTTGTAAGAAATTCAACTAATTGGTCTTCTTTTTTATGTTATTGAAGTATACACCCGATGCTTACATCTCTGGTATCTTGTTATAGCCCGCAAGCTCGCATTCCATTCCCTCCTTGACCACACGGCGGTCACCATTACCCGATATATGGTTACAAATATTATGTTGTCAATATTTCGTAAGTACAGACGACTGAGGCAAGTGCTCGTATCATTATATTAACGTTGTCTTTGTGCAGGCATTTTATATTGTAATTGTAAATTGTTAAAAACGAGTCGACTAAATTGTTAATCTACTTACAATTGAATCGTAAGAACAAAGTATCTTAACAATGAATTGATAGTTAAAAATTGTATAAACTTAAATTGCGCTGCACGACGGCCTTGCCAGATAGCCCTCGCAGCGTTGCCACTATAATTAACATGAATTGTGCAAGGTGGACTGTTTACCTACAACATTGAAGGGCATTAATAAATACATTTATAATGAAAAAACAAATTGTATGCCTACACTCTGTTCGAACACAGCATTCGGGATTTTATCTCCAACCAACGAAACTCAGCGATCCATTTGTGCAAATCACATTGCACCACTTCACCCAGACTGTACCAGCAAGAAATACACAAAGTTTCAGACGCGGCGTTGCCAGCTGATTGAAGGAATATTTTAATGCTCCCACTTTTCTAAAAATCGCACACCAAGCACTGTAATTTTGCAACTAAATAGTAATTGCGACTTAATGTAGCACATACATGTCTGTAAGAATAATGATCAGCCTAATGGAGAAAAAACTAAACATGTGTAAAGCATAGCCGCACTGTTATTTTAACTATTGAGCAATTGGCGCGCCAGCATATGTATTTATGTATAGACATACATAAATATGCATGTACGCATATCGGCCGCCAGGCCAACTGACACGCGCTGAAGCATACTGGTCTCTGATGTTGAAAATTCAATTTAAAATATGAAATATTCTTTGAAGACGACTCGGAAACTTACCAATATCAGAAATTACGCTGTTGTCCATAATAATTTATTCGCTCGTCAGTAATAATTTATGTAAACTTGATTGTATATGTTTGCTTGTGTGTGCGCGCACAACTCAAAACAAAACAAGCAAATCTTATGGCTACTATTCGTCTGTAGAGCAAGGCTATCAGTTGCGGCAGACACGTTTAATTATTTTAAAGTACAAACGCTTGCATTTATGATTATGAACTAAATACACATCTTTGAAAACTTCATATAGTACTCAAATATTTTATTTACACTTCTAATGCCTTTCAACAAACTGTATTCAAAACTCAATTTAAATAGCGAAATTCACAACTGTATGTTGGCGATGAGGTTACAGTTGTTGTTTGTCTGTAACAGCCTATTTGGACGCACGGTTGCATGGCAGTTAACATTACTCAGTACTATGAGTTAACAGCCAGCGCAAATAAGAGCAAAGAAATGGCTGATCAGCTCCAAGTCATGAGACAAGTGAGCCCAGCAATGGCCCAAGAGTACATTACGCATTGTAAAAAATCGGTTCATTTAGTACAACAGTTGTGGAACAGTGACAGGTTTCGATAGGTAAAGGAGGCCTTCGGCAATCGATTTCATAGTCTACAGTGGAATATGACAATGGCAATAAACTAAAAATGTACTCGCTGAAAGTCAATTTCTTTGCTGTAGGCCTTCAAAATCCCTGTGCTTCTTCTGCCAACTCTCGTCGCAGCAGTCGCTGAAGCAAAGCATCCTACTCAGCGGAGATTCGATCCGCCTTGGACATCGAAGACGCTATCGATGTCGTGATGCGGAACATTCGCGAGGCCGCACAAGCTGCAACTAACCACGTTTCCAGGCCAGTCAGCCTTCCGAACCGTCGAATCAACAACCATAAATATCTCGTGCTGCACGAGCCCACTAGAAGGCTGTTATGGATCAAACAAACGCATCTTTCAGTCGACGCGCAGTCCAAGAGCAAGACAACAATATAGACGTTAAGACGCGTCCCCTCTAAATATTTCCATCGTCCTTGGTAGCTATTTCTAATTCAAGTATATTTATAGGTCTTCCTGTGAACCTCTGCTTGAGAACTCCAATAAAGCGTGTTTGTTAAGCGGCTCAACTTTTCAATTAGCCAATCGCTGGGAATCGAATGGTTAAGTCGCCGCAGGATGACGCGGTATCCTTTCTCACTGCGCATCTGATGGGTATGGAGCTGTGTGCCGTTCTCAGCCTGGACTGCTTGGATTGCATTGAACGTTGCCATGTCCTTACTTTGAATGCGAAGTCTATTATTTGTAATCCACCTTGTCACGTATGTGCCAAATTTTGGGCAATTGTTATTTTGACTTGATGCCAAATTATTACTGATTACATTTCACGATGAAACTACTGCAGAGCAGTATTGCCGCTTTTCATACGCATGCAGAATGAACTGGTAGACTCGCGCAAGTTGGTGCTCTGTGCCGTGTTCACATCTAAAGCCGAATTGATGGTTTGGTACAGCCTTAGCAAAGTCCTCAAATTCGAATAAGCGGGCATTAAGAGGTTATTCAAAGATCTTCGAGAAACCAGAGAGGTTTTTATTTAGTTGTGTTCACTCGTGAACAATGGCAGCAACTGACGATTGTAGAAACAACAACAACAACAACAACGCCGGCTACCCTCGTTTAATTTCCTATTACTTATCAACATTAGAAAATAGTGTTGACATGTAAAACAAAATGTATAATAATAATTTTGATACTATATATGATATTCAGAATTGTGTGTCTGGTGTGTTTGTTCTTAAACTTAAGTATATTGCACGGACTTCTTGAACATATTGAACTGACTGTGCTGTTTGAAGAGTTCGGGGTGACGACAGCAAGGCGTGACTTTTGGTAAATGAAGTGCTGACAAAAATAAGGCGTGACTTTTGGTAAGTGTATCCATGAATGACATTATTATTGACAGGAATGCGACCATCTTCCTGCTAAGCACCAAAGATGTGTGCTGTTGAATTATGTCAAGTATTGATATGGCATCAGGGCAAAGGTGTCTGCTGCTCCTCCCGTATCTGCGTTTGAGGGTTACGGAGTTGTCTTTCCTTCTGCTGAACGCAAAGGCTCTCGTGGAACTGCTTCAGATGCCTCTCCGCTGTGTTGCTGGTACGTGTAGTATCCGTAGTGTTCTTTGCCTGCACAACCTGGCTGTATGTCTTCTTTTTATACATTCTGAGTTGGAGTTGGCGCCAACTGCTGCTGTTGATTTTGCCTTTGTAGGTGGCAACATGCTTACCCTGACAATTTTCGCACATTGCCTCGGTGTCTTTCGACTTGCCACACTCAGTCCCTATCTGGCTGCCACCACACATCAGGCAGGCAAATGTCTGCTTAGTGCTATAATACAGTACTAGAAGTACTGTGTTGCAATAATATCGATATACACACCTATCAACTGCGTAACGAGGGAGGCTTTCGTGTGATTATAAAGCATCTACATCATACGACCCCGTTAAAAGCTGGAAAAACTATTTGTGCGCCTCCAAACACCGGTTCACACGCATACTGCTAAATCAATTTGAGGTCGAGCTCACACCGGATCCATTAACTAATGAGAGGATATTACTACTTAAATCCCCGGGTAACCAGCACAATATCGAGGTCATATTGGAACCGGTACACTGTAATCGCTGCCAGGCGTTTGACCATAGTCTACTATTGCCGTCGCCCGTTCGTCTGTCTCAAATGTGGGCAAGCACACCCCATGTACCCCATGCATGCGCAAAATATATCAATTCATCATGTTTCAAATTACAAAGGTTGCAGCAGCAACAGCAGAAACATCATCAGCAGCAGCAAGAACAGCGGCAGCAGCAGCAGCAGTAACAGCTTAAATCATATACCATCAACAACAGAATCATGAGCAGCAGCAAAAGCAACAAACCAGATACTCAAATATACAAGCCGCCAATGGGAAGCTCAACAGCGCCAAGTACAACCAAACCAAAATTGCCGTTTTCATAGACAAAAACAAGAGGAGAATGCATCAAAATGTCAAGAACAACCACAGAGTGTATCGGCAAAACAACGACAAGAATAGCCACGCGAACACTAAAACAATCAGCAGCGTCACCAGTTAAATGACCCACAACTAAATTGTAATTGACCATGTCCCACCACTGCAGCAAAAACAAGACACTCCTGGAGTATGTAACTTGTCGTCAACGCCTGTGTTTTCAAGCTAATGCCCAGGTAAGTTTGGGTGTGCTGCATGGTATTGTCTCTTTTTAACTAATTTTTCGAAGTGATTAATGTATGTCTGGTTTTCCCAGATTGCGGTGGTATGATCAGCATACGTAGAGAGCATCATGCGGTTTTCGTTGAACTGACTGTATTCGTTGAGGTCAACGGCATGTCAGATGAGAAGATTTTGTACAGGATTGGCCCCAGTCTACTGCTTTAGAATACTCCAGCTGTAATTGGACACCGTCGCTGCACTTTACTACAAAGCTACGCTCATGCAGGTAAGTCTGAGGTATATTGCAGAAATTCGTCGGTGGTAATTTGATTAATTTGCAGAGCCACTGTGCCAAACTCGGTCAGTGCTGGCGCTCCTCGAAGGCTCTCAGAGTGAATTGTGAGATTCGAGAAAGTTACTGTTGCGTGCCATGTTTACGCCTGAACCCAAACTGTTAATTAGGCACGGCTTTGGCAAATTCCTCAAGTTCAAAGAGCCGGGCCAGCAGAAGTTTTCCGACTGTAGAAAAAAATCGCCAGGTAGGCCGGAAATATTTTCTTATTGTTTTAACCCTAGGAACATTTGAAAATAGTGTTGACATGTGTGTTCATTGTTGTATTTGGGTACATATCGATAGTAAAATTAAAGGGCCACATTGCCGTACAAAAGAAACAGGTTGGCAGGGTTAGCGAGACCACAATTTAATGTGACCACATTTTCCACAAGGTGGCGTTTTATGGGCTACGGAGAAGTTGCCACATGATAAAGAACTAAAAGTGAGGCAGATCAGTTCTTGGCGGTTAATTTTTCATATGGTGCGATCGATGTTTTAAATTTCTATGGAAGTGTATAAACCCTCCATCATATTTTTTTTTACTTTGTGGAATAGAATTTGACGTGTGTTCATATAAATAATGTTTAAATTGTGCTAATTTTGTGTTAAGTGTTTAGGTGGCCGACGGCAGGTCATGTCATTTTTTTTTCTGCACTGTTCCCAATGGAACACTGGCAGCAACTGACGACTATAAAAAACAGTTGCCAGCTAGCCCTCATTTATTCATCCATTACTATAATCGCAGCAACCTTTGAGAATAGTGTTGACAGTTTAACAAAAGTAAAAACAATTCTGACAAAAAGTACAGAATTGTGTGTCTGGTGTGTTTCTTCTTGTATTTAAGTAACTTGCACGAACTTTTTTGACATCATGGGGCGACTGGACTTCCTGGACGTTTTAAACAAACTTGACTATATAACTCGGACTGACTGGACTTCATGTACGGACTTGACTTTGCGTATTTACTTGGACATCTTGGACTGAGGCGTGACTTCTGGTAAGTTCGAGCTCACACAGGATCCATTAACCAATAAGAGGATATTGCTACTTAAGTCCCCGGGTAACCAGCACAATATCTAGGTCATATTGGAACCGGTACACTGTCATCGCTGCCAGGCGTTTGATCATAGTCTATTATTGCCGTCGCCCGTTCGTCTGTCTCAAATGTGGGCAAGCACACCCCATGTACACCATGCATGCGCAAAATATATCAATTCATCATGTTTCAAATTACAAAGGTTGCAGCAGCTTGAATCAAATAGTAAATATCAATACCACAGTACGCCAGTCAAAAAGCAACACACAGCAGCAGCAACTGCAGAAACATCATCATCTTCAGCAGTAACAGCGGCAGCAGTAGCAGTAACAGCTAATCATATACCACCAACAACAGAATCATGAGCCGCAGCAAATCCAACAAACCAGATACTCAAATATAAAAGCCGCCAATGGGAAGCTCAACAGCGCCAAATACAACCAAACCAAAATTGCCGTTTTCATAGACAAAAACAAGAGGAGAATGCATTAAAATGTCAAGAACAACCACAGAGTGTATCGGCAAAACAACGACAAGAATAGCCACGCCAACACTGAAACAATCAGCAGCGTCACCAGTAAAATGACCCACAACTAAATTGTAATTGACCATGTCCCACCACTGCAGCAAAAACAAGACACTCCTGGAGTATGTAACCTGTACTCAACGCCTGTGTTTTCAAGCTAATGCCCAGGTAAGTTTGGGTGTGCTGCATGGTATTGTCTCTTTTTGATTAATTTTTCGAAGTGGTTAATGTATGTCTGGTTTTCCCAGATTGCGGTGGTCGGGATGTTTTCGGCACACATTATCACCGTGTCATTAGCATAAGTAGCGAGCATCATGCGGTTTTCGTTAAACTGACTGTATTCATTGAGGTCAGCGGCATGTCGGATGAGAAGATTTTGTACAGGACTGGCCCAGTCTACTGCCTTTACTACCTTCATTTTTTTTTTTTTTCTGACACATTTCATTTTGGCAGTCCGCAGCCCACGTCCGACACTCAAATTCAAAGTGATGACCAACAAAAGTTGCAAAGAATGGCCTGCGTATGTATTACAGGAGCTATGCGCACCTGCCCAACAATGGCCCTTGAAGCCTTAATGGAGCTCACACCACTCCACCATATCATAAGGCTCAAGCAGAAAGCCACGCTTTTAAGGATATCGGCAGCAGAAGTTGGGAGCAACCATATCCTAAGCCTTTAAGATGCCCAACTTCTTTCAAACGAACTACCCCTGCTGACGCAACCTAGGGACGAAATGGTAGCCGAATACATATTCACACATATTCGAGCGAAATTTCATAGTTCGTATGAGTAGTAAAAGGGAATGAACAACTCTGGATGAAGTCCATCCCACGAAACCGCCTTGGAGTGGTGGGTCCTCGGGTATTCTACCATGAATCCCTGGGACGAACACCAGCATATTTCTGGCTGAGGTTTTTTAAGCTGTGTTCACAAAGGAACATTGGAAGCAACTGACGACTAGTAATATAATCGTCAGCTGCCCTTATATATTTTCACATTACTTAAACCTAGCAACATCTGAAAATATTGATGACATGTAATACAAAGTGTGTAAAACAATTCACACAAAAATGTACAGAATTGTGTGTCTGGTGTGTTTCTTCTTGTATTTAACTAACTTGCACGGACTTCTTTGACATCATGGGGCGACTGGACTGTTTTTTTCAGTTGTGTTCCCAATGGAACATTGGCAGCAACTGACGACTGTATAAAACAATAGCCAGTTAGCCCTAATTTATTTTCACATTATTATGATCTCAGCAACTTTCGAAAATAGTGTTGACAGTTTAAACAAATGTGTAAAAACAATTCTAAAAAAATTTTCAGAATTGTGTGTCTGATGTGTTTCATCTAGAATCTTGGCATATTGCACGACTTCTTGGACATCTTAAACCGACTTGACTGTGTGGACTGACTGGACATCTATGTTTCTCGGACTGACTGGACTTCATGTACGGACTTGACTTTACATGTTGACTTGGGCATCTTGAACTGAGTATACTGTTTGAAGTGTTCAGGGTGACGACAGCATGGCGTGACTTCTGGTATATGTTTCCTTCTTGACTGTGTTCCTTGGACTGAGTGGACTTCATGTGTTAACTTGAAACAGGTTGGCAGGGTTAGCGAGACCACAATTTAATGTGACCACATTTTCCACAAGGTGGCGATTTGTGGGCTAGGGAGAAGTTGCCACATGATAAAGAACTAAAAGTGAGGCAGATCAGTTCTTGGCGGTTAATTTTTCATATGGTGCGATCGAGGTTTTAAATTTCTATGGAAGTGTATAAACCCTCCATCATATTTTTTTTTACTTTGTGGAATAGAATTTGACGTGTGTTCATATAAATAATGTTTAAATTGTGCTAATTTTGTATTAAGTGTTTGGTGGCCGACGGCAGGTCATGCCATTTTTTTCTTCACTGTTCCCAATGGAACACTGGCAGCAACTGACGACTATAAAAACCAGTTGCCAGCTAGCCCTCATTTATTCATCCATTACTACAATCTCAACAACCTTTGAGAATAGTGTTGACAGTTTAACAAAATGTAAAAACAATTCTGACAAAAAGTACAGAATTGTGTGTCTGGTGTGTTTCTTCTTGTATTTAAGTAACTTGCACGAACTTTTTTGACATCATGGGGCGACTGGACTGAATGGACCGACTGGACTTCCTGGACTTCTTAAACAAACTTGACTATATAACTCGGACTGACTGGACTTCGTGTACGGACTTGACTTTGCGTATTTACTTGGACATCTTGAACTGAGGCGTGACTTCAGGTAAGTTCGAGCTCACACAGGATCCATTAACCAATAAGAGCATATTTCAACTTAAATCCCCGGCTAACCAGCACAATATCGCGGTCATATTGGAACCGGTACACTGTCATCGCTGCCAGGCGTTTGACCATAGTCTACTATTGCCGTCGCCCGTTCGTCTGTCCCAAATGTGGGCGAGCACACCCCATGTACCCCATGCATGCGCAAAATATATCAATTCATCAATTACAATACAATACATTGCAGCAGCTTGAAACAAATAGTAAATATCAATACCACAGTACGCCAGTCAAATGCAACACACAGCAGCAGCAACAGCAGAAACATCATCAGAAGCAGCAAGAACAGCGGCAGCAGCAGCAGTAACAGCTTAAATCATAAACCATCAACAACAGAATCATGAGCAGCAACAAATACAACAAACCAGCTACTCAAATATAAAAGCCACCAATGGGAAGCTCAACAGCGCCAAGTACAACCAAACCAAAATTGCCGTGTTCATAGACAAAAACAAGAGGAGAATGCATCAAAATGACAAAAAACCACAGAGGAGAAAACAACGACAAGAATAGCCACGCCAACACAAAAACTAATCAGCATCGTCACCAGTAAAATAACCTACACCTAAATTGTAATTGACCAGGTCCCACCACTGCGGCAAAAACAAGACACTCCTGGAGTATGCAAGCTGTACTCAACGCCTGCAACAAGTTCCAACAGCAGAAGAAACAACTTGAGCAACCAAGCCAAAAACATCGACAGCAGGAAACAGTAAATAACAGCACTAAAACCATTTCAAATTGACTCCCTCCTGGCAGGAAGTGCTGTTGAAGCTGCTGCGTGTAGCGTGGCCTTTGAAGACGTTTTGGCTCGTTTGGCTGCATAAGGAGAAACTCTGCTTCCGGGTTTTTGTGTGACGATAGGGAGTTCACGAACCGGCTACTGGTTGTTTGGTACACTTCTTCCACTGTTTTCAAGCTAATGCCTAGGTAAGTTTGGGATGTGCTGCATGGTATTGTCTCTTTTTGAATAATTTTTCGAAGTGATTAATGTATATCTGGTTTTCCCAGATTGTGGTGGTCGGGATATCTGCGGCACACATGATTACCGTATCATCGCCATACGTAGAGAGCATCATGCGGGTTTCGTTGAACTGACTGTATTCATTGAGGTCAGCGGCATGTCGGATGAGAAGATTTTGTACAGGATTGGCCCCAATATACTGACTTGGAATACTCCAGCTGTAATTGGATACTGTCGCTGCACTTTACTACAATGCTATGCTCATGCAGGTAAGTATGAAGTATATTGAGGAAATTCTTCAGTTGTGATTTGAATAATTTGCAGAGCCACTGTGCCAAACTCGGTCAAAGGCTTCAATGTCGATGAAGACGGCTGAGCAGAGCTGGCGCTTCTCGAAGGCTCTCAGAATGAATTGTGAGATTCGAGAAAGTTACTGTTGCGTGCCATGTTTACGCCTGAACCCAAACTGATAATTAGGCACGGCTTTGGCAAATTCCTCAAGTTCAAAGAGCCGGGCCAGCAGAAGTTTTTCGACTGTAGAAAAAAATCGTCAGGTAGGCCGGAAATATTTTCTTATTGTTTTAACCCTAGGAACATTTGAAAATAGTGTTGACATGTGTGTTCATTGTTGTATTTGGGTACATATCGATAGTAAAATTAAAGGGCCACATTGCCGTACAAAAGAAACAGGTTGGCAGGGTTAGCGAGACCACAATTTAATGTGACCACATTTAAGTGACCACATTTAATGTGACCACATTTTCCACAAGGTGGCGTTTTATGGGCTAGGGAGAAGTTGCCACATGATAAAGAACTAAAAGTGAGGCAGATCAGTTCTTGGCGGATAATTTTTCATATGGCGATCGATGTTTTAAATTTCTATGGAAGTGCATAAGCCCCCCACCATATTTTTTTTTTACTTTGTGGAATAGAATTCTACGTGTGTTCGTATAAATAATGTTTAAATTGTGCTAATTTTGTGTTAAGTGCTTAGGTGGCCGACGGCAGGTCATGCCATTTTTTTTCTTCACTGTTCCCAATGGAACACTGGCAGCAACTGACGACTATAAAAAACTGTCGCCAGCTAGCCCTCATTTATTCATCCATTACTACAATCTCAACAACCTTTGAGAATAGTGTTGACAGTTTAACAAAATGTAAAAACAATTCTGACAAAAAGTACAGAATTGTGTGTCTGGTGTGTTTCTTCTTGTATTTAAGTAACTTGCACGAACTTTTTTGACATCATGGGGCGACTGGACTGAATGGACCGACTGGACTTCCTGGACTTCTTAAACAAACTTGACTATATAACTCGGACTGACTGGACTTCGTGTACGGACTTGACTTTGCGTATTTATTTGGACATCTTTAACTGAGGCGTGACTTCAGGTAAGTTCGAGCTCACACAGGATCCATTAACCAATAAGAGCATATTTCAACTTAAATCCCCGGCTAACCAGCACAATATCTAGGTCATATTGGAACCGGTACACTGTCATCGCTGCCAGGCGTTTGACCATAGTCTACTATTGCCGTCGCCCGTTCGTCTGTCTCAAATGTGGGCGAGCACACCCCATGTACCCCATGCATGCGCAAACTATATCAATTCATCATGTTTCAAATTACAAAGGTTGCAGCAGCTTGAATCAAATAGTAAATATCAATACCACAGTACGCCAGTCAAAAAGCAACACACAGCAGCAGCAACAGCAGAAACATCATCAGAAGCAGCAAGAACAGCGGCAGCAGCAGCAGTAACAGCTTAAATCATAAACCATCAACAACAGAATCATGAGCAGCAGCAAATACAACAAACCAGATACTTAAATATAAAAGCCACCAATGGGAAGCTCAACAGCGCCAAGTACAACCAAACCAAAATTTCCGTGTTCATAGACAAAAACAAGAGGAGAATATATCAAAATGTCAAGAACAACGACAAGAGTAGCCACGCCAACACACAAAATAATCAGCATCGTCACCAGTAAAATGACTTACACCTAAATTGTAATTGACCAGGTCCCACCACTGCGGCAAAAACAAGACACTCCTGGAATATGCAAGCTGTACTCAACGCCTGCAACAGAAGCTCCAGCAGGAGAAGAAACAACTTGAGCAACCAAGCCAAAAACATCGACAGCAGGAAACAGTAAATAAATCGCAGCAAGGAAGGCTACAATAACACCAGCGACAAAACTGCCTTCAGTAGTGCTAACAAGGAAAGTCACTCCTGAATTGTGAGATTCGAGAAAGTTACTGTTGCGTACCACGTTTACGCCTGAACCCAAACTGTTAATTAGGCACGGCTTTGGCAAATTCCTCAAGTTCAAAGAGCCGGGCCAGCAGAAGTTTTCCGACTGTAGAAAAAAATCGCCAGGTAGGCCGGAAATATTTTCTTATTGTTTTAACCCTAGGAACATTTGAAAATAGTGTTGACATGTGTGTTCATTGTTGTATTTGGGTACATATCGATAGTAAAATTAAAGGGCCACATTGCCGTACAAAAGAAACAGGTTGGCAGGGTTAGCGAGACCACAATTTAATGTGACCACATTTTCCACAAGGTGGCGTTTTATGGGCTACGGAGAAGTTGCCACATGATAAAGAACTAAAAGTGAGGCAGATCAGTTCTTGGCGGTTAATTTTTCATATGGGGCGATCGATGTTTTAAATTTCTATGGAAGTGTATAAACCCTCCATCATATTTTTTTTTTACTTTGTGGAATAGAATTTGACGTGTGTTCATATAAATAATGTTTAAATTGTGCTAATTTTGTATTAAGTGTTTGGTGGCCGACGGCAGGTCATGCCATTTTTTTCTGCACTGTTCCCAATGGAACACTGGCAGCAACTGACGACTATAAGAAACAGTTGCCAGCTAGACCTCATTTATTCATCCATTACTACAATCGCAGCAACCTTTGAGAATAGTGTTGACAGTTTAACAAAATGTAAAAACAATTCTGACAAAAAGTACAGAATTGTGTGTCTGGTGTGTTTCTTCTTGTATTTAAGTAACTTGCACGAACTTTTTTGACATCATGGGGCGACTGGACTGAATGGACCGACTGGACTTCCTGGACTTTTTAAACAAACTTGACTATATAACTCGGACTGACTGGACTTCCTGTACGGACTTGACTTTGCGTATTTACTTGGACACCTTGGACTGAGGCGTGACTTCAGGTAAGTTCGAGCTCACACAGGATCCATTAACCAATAAGAGCATATTGCAACTTAAATCCCCGGTTAACCAGCACAATATCGAGGTCATATTGGAACCGGTACACTGTCATCGCTGCCAGGCGTTTGACCATAGTCTACTATTGCCGTCGCCCGTTCGTCTATCTCAAATGTGGGCAAGCACACCCCATGTACCCCATGCATGCGCAAAATATATCAATTCATCATGTTTCAAATTACAATACAATACATTGCAGCAGCTTGAATCAAATAGTAAATATCAATACCACAGTACGCCAGTCAAAAAGCAACACACAGCAGCAGCAACAGCAGAAACATCAGCAGAAGCAGCAAGAACAGCGGCAGCAGCAGCAGTAACAGCTTAAATCATAAACCATCAACAACAGAATCATGAGCAGCAGCAAATACAACAAACCAGATACTCAAATATAAAAGCCACCAATGGGAAGCTCAACAGCGCCAAGTACAACCAAACCAAAATTTCCGTGTTCATAGACAAAAACAAGAGGAGAATGTATCAAAATGACAAAAACAACGACAAGAGTAGCCACGCCAACACACAAATAATCAGCATCGTCACCAGTAAAATGACTTACACCTAAATTGTAATTGACCAGGTCCCACCACTGCGGCAAAAACAAGACACTCCTGGAATATGCAAGCTGTACTCAACGCCTGCAACAGAAGCTCCAGCAGGAGAAGAAACAACTTGAGCAACCAAGCCAAAAACATCGACAGCAGGAAACAGTAAATAAATCGCAGCAAGGAAGGCTACAATAACACCAGCGACAAAACTGCCTTCAGTAGTGCTAACAAGGAAAGTCACTCCTGAATTGTGAGATTCGAGAAAGTTACTGTTGCGTACCACGTTTACGCCTGAACCCAAACTGTTATTTAGGCACGGCTTTGGCAAATTCCTCAAGTTCAGAGAGCCGGGCCAGCAGAAGTTTTCCGACTGTAGAAAAAAATCGCCAGGTAGGCCGGAAATATTTTCTTATTGTTTTAACCCTAGGAACATTTGAAAATAGTGTTGACATGTGTGTTCATTGTTGTATTTGGGTACATATCGATAGTAAAATTAAAGGGTCACATTGCCGTACAAAAGAAACAGGTTGGCAGGGTTAGCGAGACCACAATTTAATGTGACCACATTTTCCACAAGGTGGCGTTTTGTGGGCTAGGGAGAAGTTGCCACATGATAAAGAACTAAAAGTGAGGCAGATCAGTTCTTGGCGGTTAATTTTTCATATGGTGCGATCGATGTTTTAAATTTCTATGGAAGTGCATAAACCCTCCACCATATTTTTTTTTTACTTTGTGGAATAGAATTTGACGTGTGCTCGTATAAATAATGTTTAAATTGTGCTAATTTTGTATTAAGTGTTTGGTGGCCGACGGCAGGTCATGCCATTTTTTTCTTCACTGTTCCCAATGGAACACTGGCAGCAACTGACGACTATAAAAACCAGTTGCCAGCTAGCCCTCATTTATTCATCCATTACTACAATCTCAACAACCTTTGAGAATAGTGTTGACAGTTTAACAAAATGTAAAAACAATTCTGACAAAAAGTACAGAATCGTGTGTCTGGTGTGTTTCTTCTTGTATTTAAGTAACTTGCACGAACTTTTTTGACATCATGGGGCGACTGGACTGAATGGACCGACTGGACTTCCTGGACTTCCTGGACTTCTTAAACAAACTTGACTATATAACTCGGACTGACAGGACTTCGTGTACGGACTTGACTTTGCGTATTTACTTGGACATCTTGAACTGAGGCGTGACTTCAGGTAAGTTCCAGCTCACACAGGATCCATTAACCAATAAGAGCATATTTCAACTTAAATCCCCGGCTAACCAGCACAATATCGCGGTCATATTGGAACCGGTACACTGTCATCGCTGCCAGGCGTTTGACCATAGTCTACTATTGCCGTCGCCCGTTCGTCTGTCCCAAATGTGGGCGAGCACACCCCATGTACCCCATGCATGCGCAAAATATATCAATTCATCAATTACAATACAATACATTGCAGCAGCTTGAAACAAATAGTAAATATCAATACCACAGTACGCCAGTCAAATGCAACACACAGCAGCAGCAACAGCAGAAACATCATCAGAAGCAGCAAGAACAGCGGCAGCAGCAGCAGTAACAGCTTAAATCATAAACCATCAACAACAGAATCATGAGCAGCAGCAAATACAACAAACCAGCTACTCAAATATAAAAGCCACCAATGGGAAGCTCAACAGCGCCAAGTACAACCAAACCAAAATTGCCGTGTTCATAGACAAAAACAAGAGGAGAATGCATCAAAATGACAAAAACAACGACAAGAATAGCCACGCCAACACAAAAATAATCAGCATCGTCACCAGTAAAATAACCTACACCTAAATTGTAATTGACCAGGTCCCACCACTGCGGCAAAAACAAGACACTCCTGGAGTATGCAAGCTGTACTCAACGCCTGCAACAGAAGTTCCAACAGCAGAAGAAACAACTTGAGCAACCAAGCCAAAAACATCGACAGCAGGAAACAGTAAATAACAGCACTAAAACCAATACAAATTGACTCCCTCCTGGCAGGAAGTGCTCTTGAAGCTGCTGTGTGTAGCGTGGCCTTTGAAGACGTTTTGGCTCGTATGGCTGCATAAGGAGGAATTCTGCTTCCGGGTTTTTGTGTGACGACAGGGAGTTCACGAACCGGCTGCTGGCTGTTTAGTACACTTCCTCCACTGTTTTCAAGCTAATGCCCAGGTAAGTTTGGGATGGGCTGCATGGTATTGTCTCTTTTTAATTAATTTTTCGAAGTGATTAATGTATATCTGGTTTTCCCAGATTGCGGTGGTCGGGATATCTGCGGCACACATTATTACCGTGTCATCAGCATACGTAGAGAGCATCATGCGGCTTTCGTTGAAATGACTATTCATTGAGGTCAGCGGCATGTCGGATGAGAAGATTTTGTACAGGATTGGCCCCAGTCTACTGCCTTAGAATACTCCAGCTGTAATTGGATACCGTCGCTGCACTTTACTACAAAGCTACGCTCATGCAGGTAAGTCTGAGGTATATTGCAGAAATTCGTCGGTGGTAATTTGATTAATTTGCAGAGCCACTGTGCCAAACTCGGTCAAAGGCTTCAATGTCGATGAAGACGGCTGAGCAGTGTTGGCGCTCCTCGAAGGCTCTCAGAATGAATTGTGAGATTCGAGAAAGTTACTGTTGCGTGCCATGTTTACGCCTGAACCCAAACTGATAATTAGGCACGGCTTTGGCAAATTCCTCAAGTTCAAAGAGCCGGGCCAGCAGAAGTTTTTCGACTGTAGAAAAAAATCGTCAGGTAGGCCGGAAATATTTTCTTATTGTTTTAACCCTAGGAACATTTGAAAATAGTGTTGACATGTGTGTTCATTGTTGTATTTGGGTACATATCGATAGTAAAATTAAAGGGCCACATTGCCGTACAAAAGAAACAGGTTGGCAGGGTTAGCGAGACCACAATTTAATGTGACCACATTTAATGTGACCACATTTAATGTGACCACATTTTCCACAAGGTGGCGTTTTATGGGCTAGGGAGAAGTTGCCACATGATAAAGAACTAAAAGTGAGGCAGATCAGTTCTTGGCGGATAATTTTTCATATGGCGATCGATGTTTTAAATTTCTATGGAAGTGCATAAGCCCTCCACCATATTTTTTTTTACTTTGTGGAATAGAATTTGACGTGTGTTCGTATAAATAATGTTTAAATTGTGCTAATTTTGTGTTAAGTGCTTAGGTGGCCGACGGCAGGTCATGCCATTTTTTTTCTTCACTGTTCCCAATGGAACACTGGCAGCAACTGACGACTATAAAAAACTGTCGCCAGCTAGCCCTCATTTATTCATCCATTACTACAATCTCAACAACCTTTGAGAATAGTGTTGACAGTTTAACAAAATGTAAAAACAATTCTGACAAAAAGTACAGAATTGTGTGTCTGGTGTGTTTCTTCTTGTATTTAAGTAACTTGCACGAACTTTTTTGACATCATGGGGCGACTGGACTGAATGGACCGACTGGACTTCCTGGACTTCTTAAACAAACTTGACTATATAACTCGGACTGACTGGACTTCGTGTACGGACTTGACTTTGCGTATTTATTTGGACATCTTTAACTGAGGCGTGACTTCAGGTAAGTTCGAGCTCACACAGGATCCATTAACCAATAAGAGCATATTTCAACTTAAATCCCCGGCTAACCAGCACAATATCGCGGTCATATTGGAACCGGTACACTGTCATCGCTGCCAGGCGTTTGACCATAGTCTACTATTGCCGTCGCCCGTTCGTCTGTCTCAAATGTGGGCGAGCACACCCCATGTACCCCATGCATGCGCAAAATATATCAATTCATCATGTTTCAAATTACAATACAATACATTGCAGCAGCTTGAAACAAATAGTAAATATCAATACCACAGTACGCCAGTCAAATGCAACACACAGCAGCAGCAACAGCAGAAACATCATCAGAAGCAGCAAGAACAGCGGCAGCAGCAGCAGTAACAGCTTAAATCATAAACCATCAACAACAGAATCATGAGCAGCAGCAAATACAACAAACCAGCTACTCAAATATAAAAGCCACCAATGGGAAGCTCAACAGCGCCAAGTACAACCAAACCAAAATTGCCGTGTTCATAGACAAAAACAAGAGGAGAATGCATCAAAATGACAAAAACAACGACAAGAATAGCCACGCCAACACAAAAATAATCAGCATCGTCACCAGTAAAATAACCTACACCTAAATTGTAATTGACCAGGTCCCACCACTGCGGCAAAAACAAGACACTCCTGGAGTATGCAAGCTGTACTCAACGCCTGTAACAGAAGTTCCAACAGCAGAAGAAACAACTTGAGCAACCAAGCCAAAAACATCGACAGCAGGAAACAGTAAATAAATCGCAGCAAGGAAGGCTACAACAACACCAGCGACAAAACTGCCTTCAGTAGTGCTAACAAGGAAAGTCACTCCTGAATTGTGAGATTCGAGAAAGTTACTGTTGCGTACCATGTTTACGCCTGAACCCAAACTGTTAATTAGGCACGGCTTTGGCTAATTCCTCAAGTTCAAAGAGCCGGGCCAGCAGAAGTTTTCCGACTGTAGAAAAAAATCGCCAGGTAGGCCGGAAATATTTTCTTATTGTTTTAACCCTAGGAACATTTGAAAATAGTGTTGACATGTGTGTTCATTGTTGTATTTGGGTACATATCGATAGTAAAATTAAAGGGTCACATTGCCGTACAAAAAAACAGGTTGGCAGGGTTAACGAGACCACAATTTAATGTGACCATATTTTCCACAAGGTGGCGTTTTGTGGGCTAGGGAGAAGTTGTTATAAAGGACTAAAAGTGAGGCAGATCAGTTCTTGGCGGTTAATTTTTCATATGGTGCGATCGAGGTTTTAAATTTCTATGGAAGTGCATATATTATCATATTTTTTTTACTTTGTGGAATAGAATTTGACGTGTGTTCGTATAAATAATGTTTAAATTGTGCTAATTTTGTATTAAGTGTTTGGTGGCCGACGGCAGGTCATGCCATTTTTTTCTTCACTGTTCCCAATGGAACACTGGCAGCAACTGACGACTATAAAAACCAGTTGCCAGCTAGCCCTCATTTATTCATCCATTACTACAATCTCAACAACCTTTGAGAATAATGTTGACAGTTTAACAAAATGTAAAAACAATTCTGACAAAAAGTACAGAATTGTGTGTCTGGTGTGTTTCTTCTTGTATTTAAGTAACTTGCACGAACTTTTTGACATCATTGGGCGACTGGACTGAATGGACTGACTGGACTTCCTGGACTTCTTAAACAAACTTGACTATATAACTCGGACTGACTGGACTTCGTGTACGGACTTGACTTTGCGTATTTACTTGGACATCTTGGACTGAGGCGTGACTTCAGGTAAGTTCGAGCTCACACAGGATCCATTAACCAATAAGAGGATATTGCTACTTAAATCCCCGGGTAACCAGCACAATATCGAGGTCATATAATAGATCAATTCATCATGTTTCAAATTACAAAGGTTGCAGCAGCTTGAATCAAATAGTAAATATCAATACCACAGTACTCCAGTCAAAAAGAAACACACAGTAGCAGCAACAGCAGAAACATCATCATCTTCAGCAAGAACAGCGGCAGCAGCAGCAGTAATAGCTTAAATCATAAACCATCAACAACAGAATCATGAGCAGCAGCAAATAAATGAACCAGCTCAAAAGCGCCAAGTACAACCAAACCAAAATTTCCGTTTTCATAGACAAAAACAAGAGGAGAATCCATCAAAATGACAAAAACAACGACAAGAATAGCCACGCCAACACAAAAATAATCAGCAGCGTCACCTGTAAAATGACCTACACCTAAATTCTAATTGACCAGGTTCCACCACTGCGGCAAAAACAAGAAACTAGGAAGGCTTAAACAACACCCCATGAAGAAAGTCAATTTTAGGCACGTACATTTGAATGAATGCTATAAAATCGCCCCTAACTAACTTTAAAGGAACGTTCAATTCAATATTAACACATTTGCACACAATATATACAAAAGTGTATTTAATTATGCTACTTACATTTTATACTAAACTTTTGTTATAAATAAGACATTTCGAGACACGTTGAAGAATTCAGAGATTTTAGAAAGTTTTGTCAAAGGTTACAAGAATTTCCATATCACTTTTCTATAAAATTTTTTAATAAAACTATAATTTTAAGCCAGACGCTAGCAAGCAGTTACAATACAAAATAACTTTGCTTTGTGTTATAAAATATTTTGTTATGCATTTTATAAAAGTATTAAAGAATTAAAAGTATAACTAATATACGTAAGCTTTCGAACACTATATGGGTAATTTGCCGGTTTTCATATCAACATTTATTTTCCACGCTTCCGTATTGGTTTTGTACTGTTCAAGCAATAAGTATTGAATAAAAGTCAGCAATTCACATTCTACAAGTAAACTTTAATATCATGCTCTTAAAACAGGGTGTCTCCCCGGAGTTGAATTGAGATTGAGATGAGCATTGAGACTGATGACAACGTAAAATAGTCACCTATTATCCTACTTTATTTATCCATTACCTTAATCACAGCAAATTTGGAATATGGCTGAACGTTCCACCTCTGCAATTTCTGATATGGTATGTGCCACACGAAACTCTCTGTCAGTTGCGTTCATTGTTGTATTTGGGTACATATCGATAGTAAAATTAAAGGGCCACATTGCCGTACAAAAAAACAGGTTGGCAGGGTTAACGAGACCACAATTTAATGTGACCACATTTAATGTGACCACATTTTCCACAAGGTGGCGTTTTGTGGGCTAGGGAGAAGTTGTTATAAAGGACTAAAAGTGAGGCAGATCAGTTCTTGGCGGTTAATTTTTCATATGGTGCGATCGAGGTTTTAAATTTCTATGGAAGTGCATATATTATCATATTTTTTTTACTTTGTGGAATAGAATTTGACGTGTGTTCGTATAAATAATGTTTAAATTGTGCTAATTTTGTGAAAAGTGCTTAGGTGGCCGACGGCAGGTCATGACATTTTTTTTCTGCACTGTTCCCAATGGAACAGGCTTAAGCAACACCCCATGAAGAAAGTCAATTTTAAGCAGTTACATTTGAATGAATGCTATAAAATCGCCCCTAACTAACTTTAAAGGAACGTTCAATTAAATATTAACACATTTGCACACAATATATACAAAAGTGTATTTAATTATGCTACTTACATTTTATACTAAACTTTTGTTATAAATAAGACATTTCGAGACACGTTGAAGAATTCAGAGATTTTAGAAAGTTTTGTCAAAGGTTACAAGAATTTCCATATCACTTTTCTATAAAATTTTGTAATTAAACTATAACTTTAAGCCAGACGCTAGCAAGCAGTTACAATACAAAATAACTTTGCTTTGTGTTATAAAATATTTTGTTACGCATTTTATAAAAGTATTAAAGAATTAAAAGTATAACTAATATACGTAAGCTTTCGAACACTATATGGGTAATTTGCCGGTTCTCATATGAGACTGATGACAACGTAAAATAGTCACCTATTATCCTACTTTATTTATTCATTACCTTAATCACAGCAAATTTGGAATATGGCTGAACGTTCCACCTCTGCAATTTCTGATATGGTATGTGCCACACGAAACTCTCTGTCAGTTGCGTTCATTGTTGTATTTGGGTACATATCGATAGTACAATTAAAGGGCCACACTGCCGTACAAAAAAAACAGGTTGGCAGGGTTAGCGAGACCACAATTTAATGTGACCACATTTAATGTGTCCACATTTTCCACAAGGTGGCGTTTTGTGGGCTAGGGAGAAGTTGCCACATGATAAAGAACTAAAAGTGAGGCAGATCAGTTCCTGGCGGTTAATTTTTCATATGTTGCGATCGAGGTTTTAAATTTCTATGGAAGTGCATAAACCCTCCATCATATTTTTTTTACTTTGTGGAATAGAATTTGTCGTGTGTTCGTATAAATAATGTTTAAATTGAGCTAATTTTGTGTTAAGTGTTTAGGTGGCCGACGGCAGGTCATGCCATTTTTTTTCTGCACTGTTCCCAATGGAACACTGGCAGCAACTGACGACTATAAAAAACAATTGCCAGCTAGCCCTCATTTATCCATCCATTAGTACAATCTCGGCAACCTTTGCGAAAAGTGTTGACAGCTTAACAAAATGTAAAAACAATTCTGATAAAAAGTACAGAATTGTGTGTCTGGGGTATTTTTTTTGTATTTAACTAACATGCCCGAACTTCTTTGACATCATTGGGCGACTGGACTGAATGGACTGACTGGACTTCCTGGACTTCTTAAACAAACTTGACTATATAACTCGGACTGACTGGACTTCGTGTACGGACTTGACTTTGCGTATTTACTTGGACATCTTGGACTGAGGCGTGACTTCAGGTAAGTTCGAGCTCACACAGGATCCATTAACCAATAAGAGGATATTGCTACTTAAATCCCCGGGTAACCAGCACAATATCGAGGTCATATAATAGATCAATTCATCATGTTTCAAATTACAAAGGTTGCAGCAGCTTGAATCAAATAGTAAATATCAATACCACAGTACTCCAGTCAAAAAGAAACACACAGTAGCAGCAACAGCAGAAACATCATCATCTTCAGCAAGAACAGCGGCAGCAGCAGCAGTAATAGCTTAAATCATAAACCATCAACAACAGAATCATGAGCAGCAGCAAATACAATGAACCAGATACTCAAAAAAAAAGCGCCAAGTACAACCAAACCAAAATTTCCGTTTTCATAGACAAAAACAAGAGGAGAATCCATCAAAATGACAAAAACAACGACAAGAATAGCCACGCCAACACAAAAATAATCAGCAGCGTCACCTGTAAAATGACCTACACCTAAATTCTAATTGACCAGGTTCCACCACTGCGGCAAAAACAAGAAACTAGGAAGGCTTAAACAACACCCCATGAAGAAAGTCAATTTTAGGCACGTACATTTGAATGAATGCTATAAAATCGCCCCTAACTAACTTTAAAGGAACGTTCAATTCAATATTAACACATTTGCACACAATATATACAAAAGTGTATTTAATTATGCTACTTACATTTTATACTAAACTTTTGTTATAAATAAGACATTTCGAGACACGTTGAAGAATTCAGAGATTTTAGAAAGTTTTGTCAAAGGTTACAAGAATTTCCATATCACTTTTCTATAAAATTTTGTAATTAAACTATAACTTTAAGCCAGACGCTAGCAAGCAGACAAGAATTTAAAAATATTTTTACATTTTAGTTTCATAATATTGACAATAGCTGAAAAGTTTAGTGAGTAAGATTATTACATTTCCATGTACACATATCGACAAAAAGTTACAATACAAAATAACTTTGCTTTGTGTTATAAAACATTTTGTTACGCATTTTATAAAAGTATTAAAGAATTAAAAGTATAACTAATATACGTAAGCTTTCGAACACTATATGGGTAATTTGCCGGTTCTCATATCAACATTTATTTTCCACGCTTCCGTATTGGTTTTGTACTGTTCAAGCAATAAGTGTTGAATAAAAATCAGCAATTCACAGTTGAATTGAGATTGAGGTGAGCATTGAGACTGATGACAACGTAAAATAGTCACCTATTATCCTACTTTATTTATCCATTACCTTAATCACAGCAAATTTGGAATATGGCTGAACGTTCCACCTCTGCAATTTCTGATATGGTATGTGCCACACGAAACTCTCTGTCAGTTGCGTTCATTGTTGTATTTGGGTACATATCGATAGTAAAATTAAAGGGCCACATTGCCGTACAAAAAAACAGGTTGGCAGGGTTAACGAGACCACAATTTAATGTGACCACATTTAATGTGACCACATTTTCCACAAGGTGGCGTTTTGTGGGCTAGGGAGAAGTTGCCACATGATAAAGGACTAAAACTGAGGCAGATCAGTTCCTGGCGGTTAATTTTTCATATGGTGCGATCGATGTTGTAAATTTCTATGGAAGTGCATATATTATCATATTTTTTTTACTTTGTGGAATAGAATTTGACGTGTGTTCGTATAAATAATGCTTAAATTGTGCTAATTTTGTGTAAAGTGCTTAGGTGGCCGACGGCAGGTCATGACATTTTTTTTCAGCACTGTTCCCAATGGAACAGGCTTAAGCAACACCCCATGAAGAAAGTCAATTTTAAGCAGTTACATTTGAATGAATGCTATAAAATCGCCCCTAACTAACTTTAAAGGAACGTTCAATTAAATATTAACACATTTGCACACATTATATACAAAAGTATATTTAATTATACAACTTACATTTTATACTAAACTTTTGTTATAAATAAGACATTTCGAGACACGCTGAAGAATTCAGAGATTTTAGAAAGTTTTGTCAAAGGTTACAAGAATTTCCATATCACTTTTCTATTAAATTTTTTCATAAAACTATAACTTTAAGCCAGACGCTAGCAAGCAGACAAGAATTTAAAAATATTTTTACATTTTAGTTTGATAATATTGACAATAGCTGAAAAGTTTAGTGAGTAAGATTATTACATTTCCATGTACACATATCGACAAAAAGTTACAATACAAAATAACTTTGCTTTGTGTTATAAAACATTTTGTTACGCATTTTATAAAAGTATTAAAGAATTAAAAGTATAACTAATATACGTAAGCTTTCGAACACTATATGGGTAATTTGCCGGTTCTCATATCAACATTTATTTTCCACGCTTCCGTATTGGTTTTGTACTGTTCAAGCAATAAGTGTTGAATAAAAATCAGCAATTCACAGTTGAATTGAGATTGAGGTGAGCATTGAGACTGATGACAACGTAAAATAGTCACCTATTATCCTACTTTATTTATCCATTACCTTAATCACAGCAAATTTGGAATATGGCTGAACGTTCCACCTCTGCAATTTCTGATATGGTATGTGCCACACGAAACTCTCTGTCAGTTGCGTTCATTGTTGTATTTGGGTACATATCGATAGTAAAATTAAAGGGCCACATTGCCGTACAAAAAAACAGGTTGGCAGGGTTAGCGAGACCACAATTTAATGTGACCACATTTAATGTGACCACATTTTCCACAAGGTGGCGTTTTGTGGCCTAGGGAGAAGTTGCCACATTATAAAGAACTAAAAGTGAGGCAGATCAGTTCCTGGCGGTTAATTTTTCATATGGATAGTTTCGCCGTGTTGTACTGTTTGGCAGTCAGGGTTGAGCCGTGAAGCATGGCTTGTGTGTATACAGAATCATAACGTGTTCATTTATTTTATTTCAGCAGAAGGTAGCGCAGAGGCCATAACAAGTGACAGGGCAGACATCCCTATCAGCTTCTTCACGCGTGCGCTATGCTGACGTCGAGCAATAGAAAGCCAGCACCACTAGAATTTGTTTAAGTAGTTGGTACTGCCAAAGCTCAATAAAGTTGAAGTTGCAAAAGATCTGCTGCTTTGTAATTGCAAATACAGGCCTTGGCCAGAGTTGAGTACGATGTCAAGTTTGTTTATCAGTTGTATCGGATGCGATGATTGTGAGCGGTCAGGATTGCTATCTTTGTATTAAATTTTGATAATGTAGACAATAAGTATCCACATCAGCCGTGTAATTGCTGTGTCGATATCATACTTGAGCGTATGAAGGAAACGCAAACTGGTGTAGTTTTATAGCCTTCTGAAGCAGAGAGGGGATTTATAGTATTAATACTGTGATAATGTTGGTCAGAACGCAGATTTTCGCGGAGCCTCAGCAAGCGTCTCAGCAGGGTTTTCTATTTGTTGAGCAGCTTTGCCATAATGCCCGCTTTTTTGGTTCAATTGATGAGACGGTAATTCATCTTTTTGTAGCTGCTGCTGCTGAATACTCCGGGATCTCTGTTGCCTGCCAAGGTTGGAGCGTGCTATGTTGGCCAGAAGATTTTTGGAAGCCTCTTTGTAGGTTGGACATCCTTTGAAACGACACATGATTGCCCGTGCAATTTGCACAATTAAGGCTGTCAATTCTGGTATGTGCACATGTAGTAGAGGGGTGTGGGCCGGCACATTTCATACACACATATGCCCGTAAACAATAATTTTTTGTATGCCCATATTTTTGGCAGCGATAGCACTGCACTGGATCCGACCTTCTGTTTTGGCGCTCAATCACTACGCGCTGGTTTCCCAAGACAGTAAGTGAGTGGATCCTGTCAATAGCTACGTCACTCGTTGATTGAAGTCAACCGCAAACATATTCATAGCATGTTGGGTGCGGGTCATAGCATTTATGTTTCGGATCACAAAACCAAGATTGGTCCAGGTGGTCGGAGTGGTGTGATGCAGGTGTCTTATAACGATTTTATGGAAACGCTCATTATCTATCTGGTACGTATGAAGCTCTTTGTTGTCATCTTTAAGGGAACTTAGCACTTACACTTTTTAGTTATATCAAATTGTTGCTAAATTGTTATTACAATAACATTCTAATTTTTTTTTATTATTGAACTTTTCATTTAGTGTTATATATATATTTTTTTTTGATTTGATTTGATTTGATGCTTTTCAACTGGTCCTTTTTTATTTAATTTTGGATTTAATGCTTCTGATGCTTTGCTTATTTGACAAACCTAACCTATTTGACAAATAGGTTGAAATACAATTTTTGCGAAAAGCGAAAAAAAAAACAATATTTGCAATAGCGTGTACCACTGTAACAGTGTTTGACACCGGCTGAGTACAGCAAACAGCTGTTTGCAGACCAGTCTGGCCAAGGCCTGTATTTGCAATTACAAAGCATCAGATCTTTTGCAACTTCAACTTTATTGAGCTTTGGCAGTACCAACTACTTAAACAAATTCTATTGGTGCTGGCTTTCTATTGCTCGACGTCAGCATAGCGCACGCGTGAAGAAGCTGATAGGGATGTCTGCCCTGTCACTTGTTATGGCCCCTGCGCTACCTTCTGCTGAAATAAAATAAATGAACACGTTATGATTCTGTATACAGACAAGCCATGCTTCACGGCTCAACCCTGACTGCCAAACAGTACAACACGGCAAAACTACCCAAGGCGTTCATCCCAAGGCTCTGGCACGGCTACCTGACTGGAACACATAATCCTTTGTTCTTATATTTCACAGGTTACACTGCCGCTATGAAGACGACCTGTGAGCTCTGCCTTTGCGTTGCATTATGCGCGCCTGGGTGCACCCGCTAAAAATGTATGAAACAAAATGCTTATTATTAGCCTTTTTGTTCCTTTCCATCATATGCATCACACACTCACCTCTACATGTATGGCTGACATGTGATGCGCCTCTGTACGGAGTCTGGCGCGCCATCGAGGGCTATCTTCTTTGGTGTCCTGCTCCGACGCTATCCCGGTCGTCCGATGGAATCTGCAATAGATGATAGGGTGTTTTAGTTGTAGTTTTTATCCATCCGAATTGAAAAAATGTCTCATTGTTATGAAAACATTATTGTAAACACCAGCCAGCTGCAACAGCGTTGCCAGACTGGTCTGCAAACAGCTGTTTGCTGTGCTCAGCCGGTATCAAACACTGGTACAGTGGTACACGCTATTTCAAATATTGATTTTTTTTTCGCTTTTCACAAAAATTGTATTTTAACCTATTTGTCAAATAGGTTAGGTTTGTCAAATAAGCAAAGCATCAAAAGCATTAAATCCAAAATCAAATGAAAAAAGGACCAGTTGAAAAGCATCAAATCAAATCAAATCAAAAAAAAAAAAAAAAAATAACACAAATGAAAAGTTCAATAATAAAAACAAAAATTAAAATGTTATTGTAATAACAATTTAGCAACAATTTGCTATAACTAACAAGTGTGAGTGCTAAGTTCCCTTAAAGATGACAACAAAGAGCCTCATACACACCAGATAGATAATGAGCGTTTTCATAAAATCGTTATAAGACACCTGCATCGCTGCCAAAAATATGGGCATACAAAAAATTATTGTTTGCGGGCATATGTGTGCTTCAATGTCGATGAAGATGGCTGAGCAGTGCTGGCGCTCCTCGAAGCCCCTCATAATGAATTGTGATATTCGGGAAAGTTGCTGTTTCGTGATATGTTTACGCCTGAACCTAAACTATTAATTAGGCACGGCTTTGATAAATTCTTCAAGTTCAAAGAGCCGGGACAATTGAAAATACGGTTGACATGTTTACAAAATAGTGACGCACGCAGCCTGTGTGTCTTTCGACTTTCGACTTTCCATTATATGTTATATGGTGAGTAACTATGATAATACTATCCCTGTTTCACACCACGGTAAATAAATTCATTTGTTTCCCAATTTCCCACCTTTTCAAAAGGTGAGTGACTATGATAATATTATCCAGGTTTCGCATCACGGTAGATAAATTCACAAATTCCTCCACCAAAAGGTACGCGACTATGATATTCTTTACCAGATTTCACTCCACGGTAAATAAATTCACTATTTGCTTCCCAGTTTCACCCCTTTTCAAAAGATGAGTGACTATGATAATATCCCGGTTTCACTCCACGGTAAATAAATTCATTTGCTTCCCAGTTTCCCACCTTTTCGAAAAGTGAGTGACTATGATAATATTATCTAGGTTTCGCATCACGGTAGACAAATCCACTAATTGCTCCACCAAAAGGTACGCGACTATGATATTCTTTACCAGGTTTCACTCCACGGTAAATAAATTCACTATTTGCTTCCAAGTTTCATCCCTTTTCAAAAGATGAGTGACTATGATAATATCCCGGTTTCACTCCACGAGAAATAAATTCACTATTTGTTGCCCAGTTTCCCACCTTTTCGAAAAGTGAGTGACTATGATAATATTATCTAGGTTTCGCATCACGGTAAATAAATTCACTATTTGCTTCCCAGTTTCCGACCTATTCGAAAGGTGAGTGACTATGATAATATTATCGGTGCACCACGGTAATAAGTTCATATTTGCTTCCAATTTCCACTTTTCAAAAGATGGTGACTATGATAATATTATCCGGTTTCACTCCACGGTAAATAAATTCACATTTGCTTCCAGTTCACCCCTTTCAAAGAGACAATAATACGGTTTCACTCCCCGGTAAGTAAATTCACTATTTGCTTCCAGTTCCACCTTCAAAAAAGTACATATAATATTATAGGTTCAACGGTAAATAAATTCACTATTTGGTTCCCAGTTTCCCACCTTTTCGAAGGTGAGTGACTATGATAATATTATCTAGGTTTCACATCACGGTAAAAAATTCACTATTGCCACCAAAAGGTACGCACTATAATATTTTACCAGGTTTCCACGGTTAATAAACATTTGCTTAGTCACCTTAAAAGGACTATGATAATATTATCCCGGTCTCACTCACGGTAAATAAATTCACTATTTGCTTCCCAGTTTCCCACCTTTTCGAAAATGTGACTATGATAATATTATCTAGGTTTCGCATCACGGTAAATAAATTCACTATTTGGTTCCCAGTTTCCCACCTTTTAGAAAGGTGAGTGACTATGATAATATTATCTAGGTTTCGCATCACGGTAGATAAATCCACTTATTGCTCCACCAAAAGGTACGCGACTATGATATTCTTTACTAGGTTTCCCTCCACGGTATATAAATTCTTTCTTTCACAGGTTTTGCTATATTTTTTAATGAGGTGAAACCATAACTGAAAATACAAATTTCGAATTTTCAGTTTTTCACCTTCAAAAAACAATAGCATTGTTTGCCTAAACTCATTTTAGTTGGCTGCCTGCTCACTTAAGGTACCAAATGGTCTTCGACGACCTTTTTTTGGGTTTTTATTTCATTTTGGAAGTCGGCGGCCCGATTTTGTCAGTCCCCGGCCCCCTTCCGATACTATTCTTCAAACTGACGACCTTTTTTTTTTTGGTTTGCTCGCACATTCTGTTTTCTAAGTCGGCGGCCACATCTCAGTCATACCATAACTAAAAATACAAACTTTGACAAAATCGGGCCACTTTTGACAAAGTTATGGCCATTTGCGTCTTTTTTCCCTCAAAAAATAGTTAAAGTGTTAACATTAGTTAGGGGGTCCAGATGACAGTTTCAGATTTAAATGCAGATTTATTCTAGAGGTCAAACCATAACTAAAAATACAATTTTCAACAAAATCGGGCAACTTTTGACAAAGATATGGCATTTTCAGTTTTCTCACCTTCAAAAAAAAGGTAAGTGATTATGATAATATTATCCAGGTTTCACATCACGGTAGATAAATTCACCGATTGCTCCACAAAAAGGTACGCGACTATGATATTCTTTACCAGGTTTCACTCAACGGTAAATAAATTCACTATTTCCTTGCCAGTTTCATCCCTTTTCCAACGGTGGGTGACTATGATAATAATATCCCGGTCTCACTCCACGGTAAATAAATTCACTATTTGCTTCCTAGGTTTCGCATCACGGTAAATAAATTCACTATTTGCATCCCAGTTTCCCACCTTTTCGAAAGGTGAGTGACTATGATAATATTATCTAGGTTTCACATCACGGAAAATAAATTCACTATTTGCTTCCCAGTTTCCCACCTTTTCGAAAGGTGAGTGACTATGCTAATATTATCCCGGTTTCGCACCACGGTAGATAAGTTCACTATTTGCTTCCCAATTTCCCACATTTTCAAAAGATGAGTGACTATGATAATATTATCCCGGTTTCACTCCACGGTAAATAAATTCACCATTTGCTTCCCAGTTTCACCCCTTTTCAAAAGATGAGTGACTATGATAATATCCCGGTTTCACTCCCCGGTAAGTAAATTCACTATTTGCTTCCCAGTTTCCCACCTTTTCGAAAAATTAGTGACTATGATAATATTATCTAGGTTTCGCATCACGGTAAATAAATTCACTATTTGGTTCCCAGTTTCCCACCTTTTCGAAAGGTGAGTGACTATGATAATATTATCTAGGTTTCACATCACGGTAAATAAATTCACTAATTGCTCCACCAAAAGGTACGCGACTATAATATTCTTTACCAGGTTTCACTCCACGGTTAATAAGTTCACTATTTGCTTCCCAGTTTCCCACCTTTTCGAAAAGTGAGTGCCTATGATAATATTATCCCGGTCTCACTACACGGTAAATAAATTCACTATTTGCTTCCCAGTTTCCCACCTTTTCAAAAGGTGAGTGGCTATGATAATATTATCTAGGTTTCGCATCACGGTAAATAAATTCACTATTTGGTTCCCAGTTTCCCACCTTTTAGAAAGGTGAGTGACTATGATAATAGTATCTAGGTTTCGCATCACGGTAGATAAATCCACTTATTGATCCACCAAAAGGTACGCGACTATGATATTCTTTACTAGGTTTCCCTCCACGGTAAATAAATTCTTTCTTTCACAGGTTTTGCTATATTTCTTTGATATTTGATATTTTCAGGTTTAATGGGCATGGTTTAATGAGGTGAAACCATAACTAAAAATACAAATTTCGAATTTTCAGTTTTTCACCTTCAAAAAACAATAGCATTGTTTGCCTAAACTCATTTTAGTTGGCTGCCTGCTCACTTAAGGTACCAAATGGTCTTCGACGACATTTTTTTTTGGTTTTTATATCATTTTGGAAGTCGGCGGCCCGATTTTGTCAGTCCCCGGCCCCCTTCGATACTCTTCTTCACACTGACGATCTTTTTTTTTTTTTGTTTTGCTCGCACATTCTGTTTTCTAAGTCGGCGGCCACATCTCAGTCATACCATAACTAAAAATACGAACTTGGACAAAATCGGGCCACTTTTGACAAAGATATGGCATTTTCAGTTTTTTCACCTTCAAAAAAAAGGTAAGTGATTATGATAAAATTATCCAGGTTTCACATCACGGTAGATAAATTCACCAATTGCTCCACAAAAAGGTACGCGACTATGATATTCTTTACCAGGTTTCACTCAACGGTAAATAAATTCACTATTTCCTTGCCAGTTTCACCCCTTTACCAACGGTGAGTGACTATGATAATATTATCCCGGTCTCACTCCACGGTAAATAAATTCACTATTTGCTTCCCAGTTTCCCACCTTTTCAAAAGGTGAGTGACTATGATAATATTATCTAGGTTTCGCATCACGGTAGATAAATTCACTATTTGCTTCCCAGTTTCCCACCTTTTCGAAAAGTGAGTGACTATGATAATATTATCTAGGTTTCGCATCACGGTAAATAAATGCACTATTTGCTTCCCAGTTTCCCAGCTTTTCGAAAGGTGAGTGACTATGATAATATTATCTAGGTTTCGCATCACGGTAAATAAATTCACTATTTGCTTTCCAGTTTCCCACCTTTTCGAAAGGTGAGTGACTATGATAATATTATCCCGGTTTCGCACCACGGTAGATAAGTTCACTATTTGCTTTCCAGTTTCCCACCTTTTCGAAAGGTTAGTGACTATGATAATATCCCGGTTTCACTCCCCGGTAAGTAAATTCACTATTTGCTTCCCAGTTTCCCACCTTTTCGAAAAATTAGTGACTATGA